ATTCACCTTATATAAATGGCCTTCTTAGAGGAAGGGTTAAAAGTTCAGCTGAATTGCTGAATCTTCCTCAATAAATATTTCCAAAAGATGCCCGTGGCCCTGGCTCTCAATGCTCACAAAACCAAAGGGTAATAGATTTTCCTGTATTATATTAACATTTCAGAGTACACTTGTGGATGCTTCTTTTGCATGGATGCTGGAGACAGAACCCAAATTGCTAAATGACCATTTTCCAGTTGGTTGCATCCCAGTCCAGAGGTACTTTTTAAATGGGAGAATAACATTCAGCTAGCGTGGCTTAAGTAATTTATGTATATTGAGTCCTTGCTGTAGGAGGACGCCCATGAGTTAGAGAGCATCATGGCCTACTAAGAGAGACTGTATTAGTTAATTATCTGCTGCTGTGATAAATCATCCTGGCAAAGCAGCTGAAGGAAGGATGGATTCATTTTGATTGATGGCACCAGAAAAAGAGAGTTTGTCATGGAAAGGAAGGCATGGCAATAGTCAGAGAAAGCATAGTGGTCCGAACAGGAAGATCACATATCTGCCCACACACAAAGCAGAGAGAGAGAGGGGGAGGAAGGGGTAAGGGGACAATCTATAAAGCCTCAAAACTCTCCAATGATATACTTCTTTCGGCAAGGATCCACTTCCTAAAGCTACCAAAACCTTCCTAGACCGGACACTAGCCAAGGACCAAGTGCTCAAGCCATCAAGCTTATGTGACATTGTTGTAAAATATTATTTTAAGGTGTGTTGCTTTTTTATGCTGCATTTGTTTAACTCTGTGAAGCTGTGACTTTTTTGCCTCTCTAAAACACCTGATGGTCTAATAAAGAGCTAAATGGCCAATAGCAAGACAGGACCAAGGATAGGTAGAGCTGGCATGCAGAGAGTATAAATAGAAGGAGAAATCTGGAAGAGGGAAGGAACAAGAACAAGAAGACACAGGGGTCAGTCACACAGTCAGTCATAGAGTAAGCGTGAAAGTGAGATATATAGAAGAAAAGGAAAAAGCCAGAGGCAAAAGGCAGTTGTAATAATTTAAGGTTTGAAAAGCTGGCTAGAAACACACCAAGCTAAGGTTGGCATTTATAAGTAATAATAGGTCTCTCCATATGTGATTTATTTGGGTGCTGTGTGGCAGGCCCCCAAAGCAGCAAAAAAATCCCTAATGAGTAAAGAGTAAAAAAGAAACAACAACAGGACATTTCTCATTCAAACTATGACACATACTTTGTCTCAGAATAACATAGAGAAAATAATGTTTTGAACCTTACTATCCTATTAATCTGTGGTTATATATTTATTACAAATATAGCACCCACGTGAATGTAGATGTAAAGTGTACCACTGTTATGAAAATCAGCATCCACACCTGTACATTATTATAATCCTTTTCCTCCATAAGACATGTATGAATATTTGCATATTGTTTTGATATTATGCTTATTATTCATTATTTACATAGAGTGCCATAATTTTACTTTCAAATAGCATGAGCTATTTGTGAGTAGGAAATAGGGGTAATTATGTACACGCATTTAACCTTTTATCTTAAGCAGCTTCTCTGTGCATAGCTGTACCTAGGATGTTAAGTAGCGTGCAACTGGAGTCAAGGAGTCATTGGGAGAATAAATAACAGATTGCGGAAATCTTGATACATTAGTAGACATGAGGAATAAAAGAAGCAAAAACTTTTATCTGTCTCGTAGAGATTCAGTTAATTGAAAAGGTAAAGTTTTACACATGATTATTAAAACATATGCCAAAGCGTCATATTTAAAATCTAAATATCCAAGCTGGCATTGTGGTTTCTGTGTTCACACTCTATGAGTTATATGATATTATCAACTTGGCCAGTTCCTTTGATGCTCAGACCCATCCCTACACTTCTGTTGCCAAACTATGCTGCTCTCTTTCCCTTGAAACATTAACATCCTTCTCCTCTCGAGTTGTGGAATCCTCAAACAGAGATTGATTCTCTCTCCTCTCGTTATGCACTGCGCTCTGCATAGCACCGATTTATTTATCTGTTCTTTAATGCTTTCTTCAGCCTTCTCTCTCTTTTTCTCTAACACAAAAGTAACAGGTGGCCTAGTTTTTCTCAAGTCACAAAAATTGTAAAAATATATTCATACGTTTAAAAATATGTATTGTGTCATTTATTTGTGTGTATGAGTCTATGTGCATGTATGTCCCACTGCATTTTGGTTGGTGATGGTGGGGATCAGAGGGAGGGGCCGAATCCCTGGAGCTGCAGCTATAGGCTTCTATGAGAAGCCTAGTGTGAGTGCTGAGAACCAAACTCGGGTCCTTCAGAATGGTAGCAAGTGGTCTTAGTTTCTATGACATTTTTCTAGCTCTCATGTTTTTGTTGTTTTTTGAAAAAATAGATACAAGTACTATGTCAACATGTAAGCAGTAGTATTGAGATATTTTGCATTGTTTCCTATGATGAACCTTCATGGCAGTTGTGTTCTTTACACTTATAGGACATGGTAATCTAGTCAGCCTTAGCACATAACTGGCAGTGAGTGTTCAACTGTTACCACTATAGTAAACAGCTCAACCCCAGGTTGGGCTATATAAAGTAATATAGCAGTTACATACAAGAATGACAACTTTAAATTCTCAATTAAAAATTAAAGAGGTCCTGGAGAGATGGCTTGGTAGTTAAGAGCACTGGTGGCTCTTCCAAAAGACCCAGGTTCAATTGCTAGCCCCCAAATGGTGGCTAACAACCGTTTGTAACTCCAGTCCCAGGGTTATGATACCCTTTTCTGTCTTCATAGGCACCCAGCTACAGACATAGGTAAAACACCCATATACATAAATTAAAAACAAATAATCTTTTCTAAAGTTATAGGTAATTTAGAACATTTTAACAGTGTGATATACTTGTCTGACATGATTAGGAACAAATATTCCCAGATATTCAATAAACTCTTAGTGTAAAAGGCCCCAAATGGCTACATAAATTTTCATTTTGGTAATCTTCATGTGAAGCATGATTAATAAAACCTCATACACAAATATTGGGCTTCAACCTGAAGACCAGAAAAGTAAAGTAGCTAGTCACTGGTTCTTAACTCAACCTTAGTCTTTTTTGTTTTGTTTTGTTTTTGTTTTATCGAGACAGGGTTTTGCTGTGGTTTTGGAGCCTGTCCTGGAACTAGCTCTTGTAGACCAGGCTGGTCTCGAACTCACAGAGATCCGCCTGCCTCTGCCTCTCTAGTGCTGGGATTAAAGGCATGCACCACCACCGCCCGGCTTCAACCTTAGTCTTAAATGGTAATCCTGTCTCCAGGAAACCTCAGAATGAGACTGAGACTGAGAGCTATCTCCTCTTGTTTGATAGTTGTCTTTAGTTCTGGGATTAAGTGCATACACAATAATCACCCGGTTTCTATAGCAAACTAGTACGGCTATTGGGATTAAAGGTGTGTGTCATTGCTGCCTGGTCTGTAAGGCCAGTGTATCTTTTCTGATCTTCAGGCAAGCTTTATTTTTTAAAATGCAAAAATGCCACTACATTTATGCATTTCACAAAGATCTTTTGAGCAAAATACTTTAGCACAATGCATCTTTTTAATAAAAGTCAGAGATACTGGAATTTACAGCTGTATTGAAGAATGTTAGAACCCGAGATTAAAATGGAAAAAAAAAAGAAAAAAAGCAAAAAAGAAAAGAAAAAGAACCCCTATACTAACTAATAGCCTTCCTTTGAAAATGTCATCTATATTTACATCTAATTAAGATGGCACATCTATCTCTTCTTTATCATCAGCGCTGATTAGTGATGGCGCTTTTCTCTAGAGAGCACACTCTTTCCTGGCCTCTCCAGTGTGCATCATCTTTTCTCTTTTTGCTTAGGTTTTCCTTCTTTTTCGCTAGAATAACAAGAGCCAATAAAAGGTCACATTACTTAATATGACCTTATATATATTTAATATGACCTTAAATTTATTTAATATGTTTCTTACAAATCACAATAGCAATGTGGAAAACACTTTAGTGTTGTATGCAATTCACATGTGGAAAGTATTATTTCAAAATGCTGTCAGAATTGCTAGTGATACAGAAGTCCTTCGTTTCACAGAAAAATCAATTTTTGTTTGATATGGCATCATTTAAATTGAAAATTAATTTTGCCCATAATGTAAACTGCATTTGGTAAAATAATTTACGGGGGGGGGGAGTGCTTAGAAATAGAAAGAAACAAAGTCAATACATACACCTGAAACACAAAATGACTTTTTTATATTTAATCTTATATTAATTGTTTTGGTGTGTAATCTGTATTATACTATATAATTATATGATTAGTTGTCATATATTTAATGTATTATTTTAGTATTACATATTATAATTATATAAGTATGAAAATATGAAATAAATTAGACAAAATTGTCTTGTAAATCATTTGATCAATTCTAAGGAAGATAGTATTTAATTCCACATAGTTTGAGTTTAATTGCCATAACTAATGTAATAGAGCTGGTAAATGTGACTTGAAAGTCTACGCTTTTTCCAGAATATCACTCTGCTGACTGGATAAAATGGTCTCCATACAGACATTGTAGCAACAACTAGCCCAACCCAAAACATGTTGAGGTAACTTTATGAAACCAGCTCTGAACGCATATAGATTATCTTGTACTGTAATTTAATATGCCCATTCCACAAGTAGTCATTTTCTTCTTAATGCATTAACAATTTCCATACGTTGTCATATACAGCTAGATATTCATATCTTCATTCAGTATTCATTTATATAGTACACAAATGAATATATGTAATGTATGAATATTCATATGAACATATGTATGGATGAACACAATGCATGCATGTGCTCACAATTTACCATTGCAAAATTTTACTAGACTAAGTTTTAAGAAAAAAGCAATGATGAAGTCATAAAGGAAGCATGACAACACATTTTGGAGAATTTTTGTGGAGATATAATTGTGTTTATCTTTTTTATTCTTCTGCAGGGATCACTGTTTAGGGAGCCACAAAATATTCCAGAAAAGTAAATCTGTTTTTCAACTTCATCTTCAGAAAAACAGAGACGTCCCAGGAAAGTTCTGTCGGAAGGTAAGATTTTCTAAATGTGGGTGTCAGTTTGGCACATTGACACATTTAAGGAGCATAGCTCCATCTCGATGGCTTGCTGCCAATTTGGAATTACTTAGCTTAATGAACAGGTGTTTATTTCACTATAGTTATTAAAACATGATAAAATATTTTCATGAAATTCCTTAACAATCCAGACTGAAACAATAATAATGAATTTGTGACTTCAACCTTTGGGTGGTAAACTGGAAATTTGTCTCAATATACCCCCAAATTTATAAGTTGGAGACTGAACCTCCAAGGGTTAGGATTGAGGAGACAACATCAAATGGTGCACACCTAAGTTTAGAAGAGGTGAGATTCGAGTTCTTATTAAATCAATGCCCACGTAAAAGGTTGGATCCCCTCCATTGGAATAGAGCCTGGAGGCAGCTGGCTACAATTTAGGCAGATGCCTCCCCTTGAACTTAAAACCCCTTGACCTCTATAACAATAAACAAATCTGTTGTTTTAACACACTCAATCTATGGTCCTAATGGTATTATTTAGCTATAGCATTCCGGATGACTAGTCATTTGGCCTGACAGCAGGCCAATTGATTTCCTAAGAAAACAGTTAGTGAGAGACCTACTGAGGTCACCATATGCATGCTTCCACATAATCACTTAGGAACAATGGGAAACACAAATATAAACAAGAGCCCCACTGATGGCAGAAAAACAGCGCAGTTCTTGTCCTGTGTGAAGACTATTTATGTCCTGTCAATGTAGCTTACGTCCAATCAGATTAATATTCATAACTGCATATAATAATCTGCCAAGAGAGGGATGAGGGTACTTTAATGATACAATTTCATGTGGTTAGATGTGAATTCTATTTTCCTCTGTGATGTCTTGAGATACTCCCAGCCCAAATTGCACAGTGTGCATGAACTGTGCTGTCTTGTCAGGTTTCATCCACAGAATCTTTCCAATTACCTGCTTTAAGCAGAAATCCCAACGTCCTGTCATTTCCATCAGATAACAGATTTCTGGTGTGTGACTTTTTTCTATATGGTATGAGCTGTTTCATCATAAAAATAAATGTCAGAAATCACATCCATTTGCAATATATCTATGTGGAATATAACATCATGAGGCCAAAAGAGAGTTGTTTAGAAATTTCTCTTAGATCTGGCTTCTGGCTCAGCCATTGTTGATAGTTCCAGGACTGCATATCTGAAATCTAGGTAGAGTAATATCACAAAATCCAACTGATACCTCAATGCTAATAAGCTTATATTTCTTCAAATTACCTTCAATGTTGCAAAAAAAAGTTGAAATTGTGATATTTTATTGCCACACAGGGAGAAAGAAGAAACGCGTGGCTCTAATTTACTTGTTAATAAAATAATTTTTTGACTCATGTAGTAGTCCACAAATCACTAGTGCTTCAGTCTCATATAAATTAAAGTACTTAGGAATTGGAGAGTTGGCTCAGTGGCTAAAAATTCTTGGTGGTTTTTCAGAAGACCCAAGTTCAACTCCTAGAACCCAGATGCAGCGGCTGACTACTGCTCATAACTCCAGCTCCAGGGGACACAGTGCCTCCTTCTGGCTCCCACAAGCATCTGCACTCACATGCACATACTCATACATAATCACACATGCATAAACTGAATTAAGAACTAAAAATAGTTAAAGACCTAAAACTCACACAATTCTAACACATTGATATAATCATGTTTTATATGAGACATTTATCTAAAAAATTTCATATTCGTGATTCTGTTAAAACAAATGCAGACACAGCATCCCACTGTAATTATCTCAGGTTTCAGAAATGGAACCAGCGATCTTAGATTTGAGCCATGCCACGAATCTTCAGAGCTTGGATGCTATCCTATCAACTTACATAAGAGAAAGACATTGATTCATACACTACACTGTGTTTAGATTTGAGATAAATGATATCCGGACAAAATTTTTATTTTATGTGTGCAGTTGTCAAACTATAGTCACTTGAGAAAAGGGATCCTCAAAGGAAGAATTATCCTCTCAGGTTGCCCTGTGAGCACATCTGGAGCTCATTTTCTAAATGACGGTTGACAGCTGAGGTCCTAGCCCACTGTGGTTGCTGTCAGGCCTCACAGTGAATCTGGAGTTATAAAGCAGACTGAGCAAGCCATGGGAAGAGAGCCAATAAGCAGAGTTCTTCCATGGCTTGCTGCAGGTCCCCTGCCTTGGCTTCTGTCCATGACCGACTGTAAAATGTAAGATAAGACAAACCATTCCCCCATAAGCTAGTTTTGGAAAGCATTTCATCACAGTGATGGAGAAGCTAAGTAGGACAATGTGTATTTTCATTTACTTTATTTTGTCTTCTTGCAGCTATAAACACCCTGTCCAAAGCCTGGTACACCATAGATATTTAAAAATGAACCCCATTCTGTATGTATTAGGTTGTAGGCACTAACCACAGCTCTTAAAGGATTAAATAGGTGAAGTGGGGAAAAGCAGGTGATAAATACTCTTGTCCCCTTATCATCTGTAACTAACAGTGTCAACTTATTAATCAAAGCATTTAATTGGGGGCTCACAGTTCCTGAGGGTTAGAATCAATGACCAACATGGAAGGGAATGTGACTGCAAGTTAGGAACTTGGCTTCATCTAATCCACAAGCAGGAGGCAGATAGAGTGCTAACTTGAAATGGCATAGGGTTTTGAAACCTCAAAGCCCACCTCCATCAAGTGAAACAACTCCTGTAATAAGACCACACCTCCTAATCCTTCTTAAACAGATCCACCAACTGGTGACCATGCATTCAAATGTATGAGCCTAAGGGGGACATTCTCATGCAAATCACCATAGTTCCTGTCATAGTTAGCTTTAGCTCTCAAACTGACATAATCTAGAGTCAGCTCGGGGAAAGAGAACTTCATTTGAGGAACTATTTCCATCAGACTTGCCTGTGGCTGGGTATGTAGGGCATTTTCTTGATTAGTAATTGATGTAGCAGGGTACAGTCCATTGTGGGCAGTATCATCCATGGGAAAGGGAGCCTGGGCTGTGAATGAAAAGTAGCAAAGTTGCATTCCTCTGTGGTCTCCGTTTCTGTTCCTGTTTTTTTTTTTTTTTTTTTTGTTTCTGCCTGGAATTCCTGCCTTGCCCTCCCTCAGTGATGTAAGGCAAACACACCTTTTCTTCCTCAAGTTACTTTGGTCATGGTGTTTTCATCGCATAGACAGGGAGCCAACCAGGAGAGCTGCTTCCATTTCAACACAAGTCTAACAAATGTTCCCCTCTCACAATGCTGGTGAATTGAATACAACTGGTACAGCTGATTGGCTTTATTCCTTTTTTTAAATTACCATACTTAAAATAACTGTTCCTTAGTTTTATAGCCTTCATAAATAGTGAATGTCCTTTCTTAATTCTAATTTTAAAGTGATACAAAATTCTCTTTTATTTTCAGAAATTCAACCTTAAAAATTATGAAAAGCATAGTTTCTTTCTGGGAAGATCGTATATGTAGTTAGGTTTCTGCATTAAACCAGGAATACAGTCATTTATACCACTTGACTCAATCTATTGGACTTGTTGCATTTCCGCAGTTACCTTGGTGATTTCTAATTGTGTAAAGCCTTACAGCACTCAATTCATCTCCAATGTTGTGATTGTTTAGGAAGTAACCTAATGGTCTTTAGCAATCAACTAGGTTTCAAAATTTTTAATGCTTTCACCTCAGTGAGATACAATGTCAATAACTGAATACCTTTCTCTTAACATTTCAATCCTCTTTAAAAATAATTCAAATGTGATCAAAAGCGCTGTTGCAACTGTATAAGCTAATCACAGAAACACGATTTCCCTCTAACTCAGAGGATGTTCACAGAACAATGACAGTAATAGAGTTTTTTCAAAATGAGATCTTACAGAAGTTGACTTCCAACTCTTAATCCTCCTGCCTCATTCTCTTAAATTCTGAAAACTGGCTCAGTAATAGATTTCATATAAGAAAAAAATAAGTTAATTTATTAAGTTAAGTTAATTTATTTTTTTTTCTTTAAGACAAAAATACTATGTCAGTTTTAGGGAAAATGAAGTGCACAGTACGTTCCGTGGCAAATGAAGGTTCTCTCTGTACTTTGTAGATACTTCACAAAACATTTCTAGGAGCCAGAGAGATAACTCAGCGCTTAACAGCACTGGCTGCTCTTTTAGAGGACTCAGGTTCAGTTCCCAGCACCCACAAGGCAACTCACAATCTCATTCAACTCCAGTTCCAGGAATCCAGCATGTTATACTGGCTGCAGCCATTGCAACATACAATGTACATATGTACAAGCAGGCAAACGTCATACAAGTAGAATAAGTAAATGCTTAAAAAAAGTATTCCTACTAAATGGCTATAGGAAAAAAGACCATCCCCCTTCTCCTCAAAAAGCATGTCTGGAGGCCAATAAAAAGCATTCACAGTATATATGCAGATTTAATATGGAAATATGCAAATAAAATTTCACCCATAAATAAAAGTTATTTACATGCTTGCTTTGATTTAACATCTGTGGAAATTGAAGTTCTACATGTTACAACATCTTAACTACATTAGTTATCTAAAGTATGTCTCAAAACATTAGTCGTATGGCACACAGACACACCCCTAAATTCTTCTGCCTCTTTTTTTCAGTAAGTATTCTTGCAAAACCTGTATTCTTGCATATTCTTCATTGCAATGGCAAGGGCTGACCACACGAGGGCAACAAATTCAACCGTCTCTCTCATCACCCCACCTCTTGTAATTTCCTGTGTTTTACCCAATTTTATATAACTAAACTTTAGTTTTCTCTGTTTCAAAAGGAAAAACAATATCAGTGTCACAGTTTTGCCATAGCCACCCTGGTGACCCTATGTAACGTCCTACCTCTTAGCATTTCTGCGCTGTTTCTAACAGCATGCTCCCAAACTCTTGCTGTGTAATCCTGAACTTGCTCTTTCCACTTGCTTCTATTCAGCCTACCCACAGAACTAGACAACGTGAAAATGAATTCGCCTTTGACGTACAGCAATATCTAGGACTTCCTTCTAATATTTTCTGTCAGGAACACAGGCTGTTTTAAAAATAGAGTGTGTGAGCTCAGAGCACTTACAACCCAGGTTATAAGAATGCTCCAACAACGAAACGTGTCGCCCCCGTGTGGTCAACAGTGCCATTGCGCTGAAGATAGGACACTAAGCCCTTGTACATAGAGTTTGCATGATGCACACCTGCTTGTGTATGTGTGTTCAGTATGTGAGTCTGTGCATAGGGGCCATAAGACTGATGTTTTAACATAGACACTCTTGTTAATTTGAAGAAAAATAAATTGCCAATTAATAACTTCTAGGACCTATATTACTGATAGCTGCAATGTATTTGTCACCATTAGTGTCTCTAATATACTTCAGAAATAGGACACAGTAAAGAAAAAAATGGAATCATAGGTGTCTTCTGTCAGGTGTCACACTGCCATGGCTTGGTGTGCACACAGAAGAAGAAAAGATGAAGATGACGATGAAGAGACGGAGGCTCAAGAGGAGAGTAGAAAGGGAAGGAGAGGGAGATGGGGAAAAAGAAGAGAAAAGTAGAAAAATTGGTGTCAAAAGCCAGCCTCCTTATTAGGAGAAATTGCTGTTTGACCTGGGTGGTACCCAGATGTTTTCCCAGCATCCTGGGGGTTTATCCTCCTCCAAAGCTCAGCTTACTGTTTCACTTGGAAAGAGAGCTCACACAGTTAAGGCAAGTAGTGGAAGTTATTTAAAACCAAGCTTAAGAATGACAAATAGAGGTTATCGAAGAGGAGAGAGAAATGACAGCAGGAAGCTATTTTTATCTGCTCCTCATTCCTATTCACTCCATAAATATTAATATAGTTTTCTGTCTACAGAGTGAAGATGACCACAGTCTGTTTCATCTGAATCAGCTCCTAGAATTTACACATATTTGGAAAATATCCAGGTAAGATGTTCTATCTCTCACCAAATTCTCAAATGCCAGATCCAATATCTTTTCAGTTGGTTGTCACTTTTGCACTTGACTAGGTATCTCCATTTGGCAAACCCCACTAACAATTATCTAGTCTTCACAAGCTACTCAGATGTACTCGAGGAATGATAGGACTCTCATTTTGAAATATCTTTGCTGTTGGTTATTACACTCAAAAGATTTCTTTTTCTTATTCATTTTGTGAATTTGGGTATTCGTGGAACTCAGCTCATTGTAAAACTCAATTTCCACACCTTGAAAGTCACCACCAGCTGCTTAGAATTCCTCTGGACCTCCCTGATATAATTGGTATGTCATAAATAGAGGAGTGTGAATTCAAACTGGAAAACTCAACTGACAGGAAACGGGCACCTCATAATTGATCCTCACACCTAAAAGTATGCCTGTGTTACTTAGAATAGATGCATCAGAAAGTAAAAACAGAAGATTCCAGGGTGTACTTTCTCTGGAATTAAATAACTATTCTGAGCAGAACCAGGAAGAAGCTGGGATGTAGGAGGTGTAACTCGTGTGTATGTGTAAGGAGGGGGGGGCATAAGTCTGAAGCAAAGCCTTCTGTAAAGATAGTCAGATTGGCTTGTGCTGTCTTGATGACACTCAGCATTTTCTGAAGCTAGTATTTATTTTGCATGCATTTTCTTACCTAAATCTCCTCACAGTGCTGTGGCGACCCATCTTATTTGCTTCAGAATCAAGGAAATGGAGGCTCTAAGAGGTCATACAAATCTTCAGGCTCCTAAGTCACTATTAGAGTGAGTGCTGAACTCAGGTGCAGTGGAATCTTCAAGGGCTGCATCTTTGCATTAAATCATTGCGTTCTTATATTGACTTTCCCCCAGAACCACTCCCAAAACATCCAGGCTCATTCTGTACCATCATGAAGTAGTTAGGGCAGTAAAGAAGTTCCAACAACATCCAATTCAAATTTTTTTCTTCGCAAGAACCACATACGGGTTACTGGCAATATTAACTAAGGCAGCAGCTTCATTTTTACGAACTAAATCTATCCATAGAAAACACCAAAGAGGGAAATTGGAAATTAGGTAGAAAGATAGATAACTAACTAACAAGTTATACAAATGGGAAAATGGGAAATTCCTGGGAAAGGAAGTGTTACTTCCAACTGGTTTGTTTGAAGATTGCGACTTGGGCCTGGTTCTTGGGACACAGAATGAAGCAGCAAGGCTGTGAGAAAATCATCCCAAAGCTGACTCCCTCCTGTTCTTGTCTCACACTTGCTCTCACCCATCTGGTGGTCTTGACTGCCGTGCATAGGTGTCCAAAGGGTTAAATCAGAGTAAAAAAAAACCCTAGTGTAACAGCCTAGGTTCAGATTAAACTCCTCAACCTTTAGATTTATCCTGAGACTGTTAGACAACAATCTGAGTAGGCTGGAGGAGATACCACAACCTGGTATGTCTCCTCCTTTGTTATAATAACCTAAACAGTGAAGTTAAAAACAAAAAACACCAACAAAACAAAACTATCACATAGATACATAGCTACAGACATGAGCAGAACTGGGTCGAGCCTTCAATGAATGCTTCTATTTCATTCCAATCCATCTTTCCCCAGTATAACCTGGTGCGGGTTCCTACCTTGTCTTGTGATAGCCACTGCATAAACAACACAGGGCCAACCCATTGATGACTAGAATAAAGACAGGATTTCCTTTGAGTCCTCTACCTTTTATGATTCATCTATTTCTTACAAGTTGAGGAAATTATTGACTAACAATATTTCCAGTTAGTTTATTTCTCTAAGATATATGCATGTATTTACAAACAAAGTGAAAGAATAGGTGTGCCCCTGGAGGTGTTTTTAGCATTGGGAGCAGATTTTATGTAAAAACACACTACTCTTTTCTTACCAGTCCACTGGCTTGTATAGACTTTATGCGTTTTGTCTTATAAATGACAGCTAAAGTGATAATGTGATAATGCGTGAGAAGGAAGCTACTATAAAATATATTAATGGGTTTTCCATGTAGGTTTTTGTCTTTATAACTCACTATTCATTCCATTCAGAAATACTCAGGACAAATGAGATAAAGTTAATAACGTTTTAGAAAGTGCTCTGAACAGCAAAGCTGGCAAGAACCCCTGCTCAAATCACATACATCCCACCTAAACAGAGATAAGACTGGAGCAGTAAGAGAGGCTGGAAAAGAAATATGCAATATTCTATTGCCTGGGACAAGCCCATCCATCATAAATACCTGTCCAGTGATTTTTAAGCCTACGTATTTAGTATTTCCCAGTACTAAAATTTACCATTATCTGCTTATGAATTGCATTTGAGTTTTGTAGAGCAAACTGTTTCTCCTCTGGTCTTACATCAACACAGAAGTTCCTGTGACCCTAAATGATGTGAACGGTTCACCCTACTAACAAGAAAGAGTTCAGTTTTGTAGTAGACATCTTCTGTGTGTCCTCTGACTCAGTGTTGACAAGATCTATGTGGAGTTGGTGCCACAAGGAAAACACATGGAGGGCTCAGAACCCACCAGAGACTCCCCAGCTCCCATCAGATGCTAATTATCACTGATATTTGTGATCAACCAACTCTAAACTAAGGCCTTGTAATCCGCCTCTGAGGTTCATCATGGCATGAGGGACTCAAGAGTGCATGTTGATACTCATAAGACTTACAGGAGTCAGGAGTAAGCTGATTCAAAAGAACAAGGAAAGAAGCAGAGACCCCAGCTCTCTGTAGGCACATTCCTCTCCCAGAAATCTCCTGTGGTCAGCTATTTGCAAACACTGAGTCTTCAGACTTCCAAGGAGCTTTGTTATATACACTTGATAGATCATGTTACTGACTGTATTAGCTGTTGTGTTAGCTACTGTGATAAAATACCATGACACAGACAACTTAAGAAAGGGCAGGTTCTCCTGTAGTGGCCAAAATTTGAGGCTAAAATAATTATGGCAGAGATGTTAAGGTGACAGGAGACTGATGTAGTTGAATACATGCCTTCCTGTGGTCAGGAAAAAGAGAAAGGTGAATACTGGTCTAGGACCCAAGGCTAAGAAACGATGATGCCACCATTTTTGGGGTAGATCAGATCATCCCACTTTGGTTAATATAAACAAGATAAGGCCTCACAGTCAATGCCAGAGGCAGAGGCTAATCTAATATTAATAATTCCTCAGGGGCGTGTCTCAAGGTGAATTTCCTAGTTGATTCCAGAACCTATCAAGTTAACTATTAACAAGATCACATAGGCCTTTAGTAACTAGTCTTCAACTAACAGAGGTTGAGGAAAGACATACTAATCTTGCCAGATGTTTTCCACAACCAGCTCCTACATCACAGAGACTAGCATCTTGGGAGATCATGAAAGAGTTTATTTCAGCTAAGGTTAAGGTTACAGCTCATTATGGAGTCACAGCTGTGGGAGCTTGAGCAGAGGATCACATTGTCTGCACAGTAAAAGCAGAGAGGAAGGATGTAGGTGCTAACACGCAGCATCTTAGACGGTCCAGAATCCCTCTTCTCAGAGAATGGACACACGCACAGTTGGTCATTCTATCTATCTCAGTTAAACCTAAATCAAAATATGCTCACGAGACTTCTTATTCCCAAAGTGTGTTTATATCCTGTCGAGTTGAAAATTAACACCAACAATCACACAGTCTCACCTCAGGAAGTATGAGCTGTGCACCTTGTGGGAATGATGGGCTTGTGAAAAATGTTTGCAATTTTAAATATGGTTTAAAGGATAATAGATTAAGTGTGATAGAATTGGGGGAGTTCATACAAGAACTCTCTGAATTAGTTCTGAAAATCTATGAAAATAAATTGTGAGGTAAAATTTTGAGTAATACCAAATAATATTTATGTTATGCCTAGTAGAGAATCTTGGAAAAATTAGAACTCATGATAAATGTCTGTGCTAAAGATGTGACATTAAATTTCCATTTAATTAAATTTTTGTTTTTATCTTTGTAGACAATGCCTTTCCACGGTAGTAAAGAAATACAGCTTCCATGTCAAAGAGCTGCTGGAAAATCAGGTATTGGCTTCCATAGCTTTAGCCACCTAGTCAATGAACATTTATTAAGCATCTTCTATGTTTTTTTAAAAATATTTGCAAGTTTTAAAAGAAATTCAGATGGATAGAACAGAGCCCACATTTCAAGATGATCTATGCACTATGGGAATATAGAGTAAAATGCTGTAGCTGCTACCAACATGCCATATGAACACAGGGCATGCAAAAACAAAAAGGACAATGAATATCACACAGTTCAACTGTTTGTTGCAACATCAGCATGTGTTTCTTGGTCAAAGGTGAATGGTGGAAAATGGGGAAAATGTTCCACAGAGTAAAAATAGAAACAGAACCAGTGAACTGAGAAACAACTTGTTGGGTTGGGAAACTATATTAAGCCTTATATGACTTCAACCACGTTCAAGGTGAGGAGCTGACAAGAGTTATGTAGTTACTTGAATCTTATATAACCAACCTTATGACTTTTGATTTATCAGCTGATGATGTTCATAGCTGTACAATGACTGATAGGCGATTAGGGAGGCATCTCATTAGCCCAGCGTAATAACGAAGGCCTGGTCCAGTATCATACTTCAGGATAGAGATGAGGTGAAATGTGAAATTTGCATGATTAGGTGGAAGACTCAGGAAGCCTAAAATAACTGCAGATTTCCTGACTGCAGCTGAATGCAGGGAGAGATCAATTCCAGAAAATAACGATGAGAGGAAAGGACGGCTCAGCAGGAGAGAGTGATGGAGTCAGTCCGAGGCTACTAAAATCTGAGCACCTGCTGGGCCTCCAGGTTGTGATCTCCATTAGGCACATCAAATCTGAGAGCTGCTTTTAGGGAAAGGCTGGTGTTTCAAAAGAAAGACACCACACAGCCTCCCACAAGGCCCAGTAAATCAGAATCCAACTTTGAGAAGATGCTCCTTCTTTTGTCGTGAATCAGCAGGATCAGCAGGCCCATGAAAAGGTGACTCTCTCAGGCTACTGATGATTCCCAGCAGGAATGAAGATGGTCTTGATGTGGATGCAGAACTTGTATATGAACGTGAATTCTATACAAATAATTAGCAATATGGGGATGGCAGTACAATTTTACACCTAATCTTCCTTCCTGAAGTCTAGTATTCTCTCTATTGGAATTCTCTTTCTTAGGCCTGTCTTGAACTTGAAATGTAAAGATATGGAGAGCATCAGTAGAAGAACATGACACTGATTTTTAAATTTTTCTATTTACTTTTCTTTCATACAATACATTCTGACTGCAGCTTCCTCTCTCTCCTCCCCTCCTTCCAATTCCCTCCCCACCTCTCCTCTCCCCAGAGTCACTGCTCCTGTGTTTTCCTTCAGAAAAACAGCAGGCTTCCCAGGGATATCAACCTAATTTGGCACAATAAGATGCAATAAGATTAAACACAAACCCTCATCTCAAGGCTAGAGGAGGCAATCCAGCAGGAGAAAAGGGGTCCCAAGAGCAGGCAGAAGAGTCAGAGACACCCCCACTCATACAGTTATTTTATAAAACGGTCATAAGTGAGTCCTGGGAGACATCTCAGTAAATCAAGTGCTTGCCATTGCAAATATGAACACCTGAGTTTGGATCCCCAGCATTCAGGCTAGAAGCTGGATACGGTAGCACACATCTGTAACTCCAGATCTGGGGAGGTAGAGACAAGAGGATCCTGAAAGCTCACTGGCCAGGCCATTCAGTTAACGCAGTGAGCTCCAGGTTTTTCAAGAGACCTTGTCTCAAAAAATACAGTACAGAAAGACTTAGGAAGACTCCCAAGCATCAACTTCTGCCTTCATGGGCACACACATGTATCCATTTTCTCTCTTTCCCTCTCCCCTTTCTTTCTCCCTTCCCCATCACACACACACACACACACACACACACACACACATACACTTGAGCATATATATATATGCTCACATACACAAAGTTTTATAAGTTGTTCTCTTTTAAACTTGATTTCTTCAATCTCATAATAACCTTTCTAAGGTAGAATTTGCAATTTGTCAGGACCTAAGGCACATCAAGACTTCAATCATCTATGCAGAGACAATCGGAATGGTTAGCGAGCTAATGAAGAGCTGAGTCATCTGAGCTGAACATCTCCATGCTGCTAGAGTGTTATAGGCACCTACATTCCACATACACACATGCTCAGACTTCGGAGGATCTGTAACATTTCTGGCTTTCCAAATTTAGAAGCTTGATGCTCAAATAGGAAAGCATCCATGTGTTCACTTTGAAGGAAACCATTGGCTACTGTTAATTTTTCCAATATAACTAAAATATTGGCAAAACATCAAAGAAACACTGTCTTCACATTGTCACTAGTAGATCACAGCCATCATTTGCCAATGGATTAAGTTATAAATAGGCCTCGGTGCCTGCCTGTAGGTTTCCAGATAAACGCAATCCAAAACAAAGAGCTTTCTTTTAGATTTAATTTGTAAACTTGTGTGTCTTTCTGGGTAAATGCACATGAGTGCAGATGGCCTTGGAGGATAAAAAGGGGTACCTGACTCTCTAGTGCTGCGTTCCAAGTGGTTGTCAGTCACCTGACATGGATGTCGAAAACTTCACTTGGGTCCCCTGTACAGGTACATGTTCTTAACCTCTGAGCCATCTCTGCAGACTTATCAAAAGCTTCTGAGATGGGTTTCTGAAGGGGAGCATCCAGATTAATGTGTGGGGGCAGACAGCAACATTGCCAGTTCTAAGTGCTGCACCTGCTTATTGACGAGTGAGTTAAGCAGCGTTCTATGGAGACCTCGGTGTCACACCACCTGCTTCCTTGACAAATAACATGTCATTCATGTCCCACACAGCATCAGTTTCAAAAATAATGTTTCCCCAACCACTTACAACCTTAGGTTATTATGTATGGTTTGAAAACAACACAACAAACCCTCGGTTAAACAAATGTCATAAATATTTTTGAATAATGTGGCTAATTTAAACTGATAGATATGTTTGTTCCTTGAAGTAATTATTTCAGCATATTTTAGACTTTGTTCCTTTCAGATTGGGAGTCCCAGCTTGTGCCTTAGGTGACTCATTGTGCAGATAGGTTACACGGAAACTTTCCACTGGAAACTTTCCTCCTCGGTTCCACTCTGTGGATATTCTGATTTTTTTTAGAAATATAATTTTAAATCCATTCTGTATCTTTTATTTATCTTTAAAATTTGAGAGAAATGAAAACTAAAGCATTTCCCCCAAGGATATTACTGAATGCTTACTTGATGTCAATAATAGAACATTTTGATCACTAGATAATGAGAGGTGGTAAGTGGTCTTTGCTGTAGGAAGTCTTACAGCTAGTGGTTACCCGCCCACTGGGGCATGGCCTCTTATACTATATATGCTGATGTAGAGCATGCATCCGGCCTCTTTTCCGAGGTTGCGTGATTTGTTTTCTGATCTCAGTTCAAAGGAGTCGATTTGTGAGTCTACCCCTAAATAAATAACCATCTATTTCTCAATTCTGAGCTAGTGTGGGATTTGTTTTAAGTGGCCATCACAGGCCTTCCCTGAACTGGATGAGGACCTGGGTTGAGATTGGGCACATTTACACACATAATTCCTAGGGTGGAGTCTATTCATCTCAATACATTATAAAGTCATATCTTTCCCTAGCTAAAAGAATTGACTTGTGGTTCAAAATTACTTCTTACTGGGATATTTCAATACTTTGCTAAGTTTTGACTGAAATGTCAGTCAGAATTTTTAGAGATAAGTAATCCCAATGATCAATAAGAGAATCTAATTGCAGAGCACATTGCTAAGATTGCATAAGATCAACTCATGCTTTCAAATGTAGTTTGACTACATATAATGTCTACAGGGTCTAGGAGGGCCTAACAGCCCTCTTCCCTGGTCTTTCCACTATCTGGCCCATGATCCACAGACTGTATCAAGGCAATGATCAAAAGAATAATTCATCTTTTATATTCACTTAAATGGCTCAGGAGAAATAAGTACATGCACCTCACGCATGCTCTGCCTCTAAAGCTATTAACCACCCAGAGAGGAAGAAAACTCAAAAATCTAAGGAAAAGTATTAGTACAGGAAACAAGAACACGTTATAATTTTTTAGAAGTGAAACCCTTTTAGTCACATCAAATAAACCAGTAGATGTTCAGAATGTCTAATTTCAAACCTAATTTAAACATAGTTACAGTCAGGTCTGAATTCAGAAACAGAACTTTCTGTCAACTCCAACGCTATAAAGGGATTTTACCTAGCCCTCCTAGTTCATATTCCTCATTGCTAGAGTAGAGAAAATAAAATATAATACAGGGATATCTTTAAAGATGAGTGAGAAGGATCTATGTAATATGTTTCTCGAGGACAGTGACCGGAAGAACATCCAGAGAAAGACGAGTCAGGTGTTACTGTCATTGTACTGCTCTCGCAGCCACCATTTGAGAGGAGGATAATAGAGAATCCAGGACAGAGTCATCAAACAAGTGTATAATCACAATCAGAAAAAATAAAAGGCTCAGGAAAGGAGTAAAAAAAATCATAAGAAGAAAATAAAAAAAAAAATAAACAGACTTTGAGGACCAGTAAAGAGATCAGATAAACAGAAGCTAAGCAGGAAAAAAAATCAGGTCATAGGAACCAATTACGGAAATGAAGCTTTCCTTAGTAGAAATGTAAGCCAGAAGGATATGACAAAATGTCAGAACTATTATGTAAAGAATACTCACCCTCAGACTGAAGAAACACACACACACACACACACATACAAAAAAAAAAAAAGAATGAAGAAGGACACTTAAAAGAAATAACACACTAGCTCATAATTGAGAAAAACAGACCATTATTTATTTAGGGGTAGACTCACAAATCAGAATCCCCTGCTGGAATGGAGAACAGAAACCTAATCCCGCAGCCGGAAAAGAGGCTGGATGCATTCTGTACATTGGCATAAATAGTATAAGAGGCCTCGCTCAGTGGGCGGGTCGCTACTGGCTGTAGGATTTCCTACAGCAAAAGAAGTCTCAGTCTCTGTCATTGAAGTAGAAGAGTGTGCACAGCCAAGAATATGGGATGCTAGCGAGAGCAACAGCACCAGAGAACTTTCTGGAAAAAAGCAAGCACGATTGTCTACACTCTCTGGGTTTTAGCAGCTTGTTATGTATCATGGGAAGAACATGTAGTAATGTATATACAGAACACAGACTAATTATATGATGGGCACTGCCTAAGGACCACCTGTCATCGTAGGCTCTGTCTGGGTCCTTTTGTCTTCTTCAGAAGACATGCCCTTTGTACCCACAAGCTGGCTCAACCTGTCACTTGTAAAAACCCCTGCCATCAAGTCTGACAGCCTGAGGTGGATCCTGGAGACCCAATGGTGAAAGGAGAGAACTTTTGCTACCCATCCTGTGCTCAGACCTTCACATTCTTGCAATGGAACATACCACCACCACCACACACTACATATACCTATGAAGTTAATACTTTTTAAAAGATTTTAAAGAAGTGTCCTTTGGTGGAAAGTGTTTGTTTTTTTTTTCTCTTTGTCATCACTAAGCTATGAATTCATTAGTAATGACAGATCTCTGTGTTCTTTTATTTCTTTGTATATTAATTAAATCAAAGCTTATATATACATTATTGTGCATATTATATGTTATACATATACTATAATATTCATCTCGCTCCATGTGGTGGTTCTATGTTCATTTTTAAGTGTTGAATAGTATTCCATTAGAAAAATGGACCTCAGATTACATCCTATACTGTTGGCAGACATTACCAATAATTTTTCTAGGATATAAATTTAGGATGATTCATGCATAGCTAAGTTTATTTATATTTCACAACATAGGAGAGATCCTCTTCTGAAACAATGTGTGATAGACTCCAACTTGATGTATATGTTATGATGTTCAGTATTAATTTTATTTACTAACAAATTCATGATTATTTACTTTTGAATGAATTTAATAATCATCTTCAATATTTTATAACATACATGTTGTAAGCCACCTGTTGTAGGTGCTGGGCACCAAACTCAGATATTTTGCAAAAGCAGTGGGTGTCTTAACCATGGAGCTGTCTCTACAGCTCTTCAGTTTATGCTTCAAACTAAGTTTACAATTTTATATTTTATGATTTTTATACTATTATCTGAAGATTGGCTTCCACAGATTTGCAAACTTTTGCTCAGTTTTTCCTAGGATTATTTACAGCTTTCTGCCTTTTAATTCTATGTATCATTTCAAATTGCTCCTTTTGTGTTTAAAGTGGTAATCCTTGAATTTTTAAATTTTTTGACATTTTTATACTTGCATGCAATGAATTTGATTTTTTTCCAGGCCCTATTAGCTTCTCTCATCCCTTCTCTCTTTCACACCTAACCCCATTTCTTCTTCCCCTCATATTTTTATGTCTTGTCTGACTTGGTTTGTGGGTGTGTGAGACCAACTGTGATTAGTACAGATCACCTGCATAGGCATGGATGAGGGGTTAGTAACTGAAGTGCAGCAAATTATTAGTGACTACACCACTGAAGGAAATGAACCCTATTCCTCCCCTAGCACATTCAACTTCCCATCGTTCCTCTGTGAGTGGTGGTACTTCAGAACACACAGTTTCCCAGTGCTTCTTTATTTATATTTTACATGCATAGCAAGTTGTTCATTTAAAATAGTTTGATTCCTTGATTGCAAGAGCTTAGCATAATTTTCAAGAACTACTAGCCATGTGGTTGCAGATCAGGTTCTAAATGACCTGTCCTGCTCTGTGTTTTTTTTTTATTTCATTTTATGTGCACAAGTGTTTTGCATATATGGATGTGTATCACATAGTACATTTTATCTGTGGAAGACAGAAGGGGGCTTCAGAGCTCCTGGAACTGGAGATGGTTGTGAGCCACATGTGGGTGCTGGGAACCACGCCCAGGTCCTCTGGAAGAACAGTTAGTGCTCTTTCCTGCCGAGACACCTCTCCAGCAAGGCTTTATATCAGGTGAGTCAAGTACTGTCTCACGCAGACTTTGTACCTGAGCTTCAGATTTAGGCTCTGTCCTTCCTAGGCACAGCAGGTAAATCCCTCCTGTGTGTAGACAGTCTTCTGCAGTAGAGGGTCTTGCCATCAGTGTCTGACTTGGAGCTGACATTCAGTAAGATCCTGGAATCAAGGCTGGGCTTCTCCTGTGCAGTGGTTTAACTTCAAATCTTCTTTCATTAACAGACAGCAGTCACATGTGCCCTATCTATTTCTTATTTGTGTACTACTTCCTAAAAGCAAATCCTGGTACCTGCACCCAAGAGAAAACTGGTTTCTGCCCCAGCATCCAGGTATCAAGGGATTTTAATCTTATGAAATAAGTCCACAGTGGTGGACAGGACTTTGTGCCTGCTCCCGGACATCCCTGATCACCCACACACCTATTCTGCATGGATCCAAATGGCATGGTAACTCAAGCCTAGTCACGGAGAATTTTTTTAATGTCCCTCTTGTCTTCTGATCCACTCGAATGGTGGTTGCCCCCTCTACTACTCTATATCAAAGCTTAAACATTTGGTGAGCCCCATGTCTACTGTTAGTCTTTGTGATTATGATCACCCAGTTACCTTGAGATCTCACATCTCTATAGAGGTTTTAAGAATTGACAACTTTGTATGTAATGTGGCAGCTGCTTTCACTTTTCACAATGTTCCTAATATTCTGCATTTCATGCCAAAATTCTTCTTCAGAGAAAATATGCATCTCTTCAAAGAAAAAATTCACGACAGAAAAAGAAATGGAAAGGAAAGCATCCTAAACTCTCAGTGTGTCTCTGAATTCATGAATGGATTTTGATCCTTTCAGGCAGCATGTTTAAACAGAAAGGCGTTCGGGTTTCTGTGAAAGCTGGAATTGGGTAAAGGGTTGACTGTGTGACTGTTTACATACTGTCCGCCTTTGTCTCTGTCTCCACTACAAAAGCCAAGTGATGCTCCATTCTCTTTTCCAGGAGGATCTGGAGGAGAAGCATTTGTCATCTGTGTTTTCCAGTGCTCCCAATCCTATCCAGGTGTGTATGTTTATTGTCTAAAGCATCAGAATGCTGAGCCCGTGAGGCCTGTGACACATCAAATATCTCTGAAGAAAAATCCAGAACATGTCTTACAGAACAGTTTGTGGTTTTACTAACTCAAAGGATCAAAGTCAGGAGGACTTTAACCCAGTCAAAACTCCTGTGGATTGCAGAACTCCTCTGTCAACTTCCCTGATGCTTTTGTGCCTGTAAGTGGAAGAGTTCAATCCTCCTGGAGCTACCTACTCAATTCTTAAGCCATTACTTTTGAGAAAGCTTTCTTATCATATTGATCCAAAATTCACTTTCCTTTATATGTGAATACAGGACTTTCATAGGATTTGACTATCTAAAAAAAATTTATCCCTAACCACTGTGTTTGTGTATATGTGTGTGTGTACACATGTGCATGTATGTGCATGTATATACATGTGTTTGTGTGCACACATATATGTCTATAAATATGTGCATGAGTTGTACTTTGTGTACATGTGTATATATACATATACATCAGATACTACACCCTCTATCTCCCCCACACACATAAACACATATGTTTGAGTATGGTTGGAAAGTGTGTCCACACAGATGCTTTGGGTCTGCTTCTGCTTGAGTTCACAATAGTAATAACCTCTGAAATTGTTGCTTTTTACTAACTGTAACTGGCAATTTAGCAAGAGACAACTGAAGGCAAAAGGGTTAGTTGTGTTTCATGGTTTGAGAAGCTACTCTCCACTCTAGTAGCAGGCATGACAACAACCAACTCCTGATAGTGTGGGGTAATTGACCAGAACCTTCCATCTCTCCTCATAGCCTAAAACATAAAGACGGGACTTGGGATGAAGGAAGGGCTAACCTGTAACCTGTAAGCCCTGCCACCAAGCACTTCTAGCAGACAAGCCCCAGCTCCTAAAGGTTTTATGACCTCTCCCAAGATCCCCACAAGTTAGAGGACTAGGTCTACAAACACACAAGCCTCCATGGGCCCTTTCACATCCAAACCACATTGATCTACAATCATTCTTAAAACAGAATCCATATAAAAAATATAGGTTAATATCTTCAGATTTGTATAACAAGAGATGTCACCATCAATTTTTCAGATCAAAGCTGTGGCCAGGAAGCAGCATTCTTAGAAGTTCTCTCTCCAACTTGTTTTCTTCTGCCCTTCACAGGTCATTAGCCAACTGGTGTCCTCTGTTCATGTCTGGGTCTTAGCTTCAAATCATCCCTTCCCCCATTCCATCCATATATCTGAGGTTTCATCTATCAGTACCTGTCAGAACGTGAGTCAGAAACATTAAGTCCTCGTGTCAGAACGTGCATTGAGACTGATAGTTTCCTCAGGCCACTGAAGGACCAGTGTTTGACCAGAAGCTCAGACAGGAAGATGCCTCTAGCTGTCTGTCATCTGGAGAACTAATCAATCTATATTACAAGCTAAGCTGCCCATCCACTCTCATCTGGGCACATAGGGTTTGTGTGCATGTGTGTAGAATATTTGTGTTTCTTCATCTGACAGTTGCAGGAACTAGGACCTTGTTCTACTTCGCTGTGGTAGCTCCTGATGTGTGTTCAAAAATACCTGAATCAAATGGCACACCTAAAAAATCTTGTGGTTTCTGAAACTCTGCTGAGATTAAAGTGCTCCCCCAGTGTACATGTGTGTGCATGTGAATGTACTTGTATGTGTGTGTTTGATATGTGAGATCACTCTCATCTGTGTAGTAACCTGTGGAGGCCAGAAGTCAAAACAGGGCATCTCCTTTAAAGACATACTCCACAAGTGTTACAGAGTAAACTAGCTTCCACATTCCCAGAGACCTAAGACAACTCAGAATTTTCATTTTAATTGGTAATATTTATGCATCTTTTAGAATATACATCAGTTGGCTCTTCCTAGTGTACAGATGAGAAAGCACCACTCACCTAATCTTATGGAATTTTACTCCTCACCTCATTAGTTATCTGTGCAAAATATATTAATTCTGATTTCATTAATAAGCCACAACATACGTGAAAGGCTCAAGATTAACATTAGAATGTTATCATTTGTGAATGTTTTAATTGTTTCCTTTAATCTTGAGAACAACCTTTTAGTCAGTTACAATTGTTCCTACTGTAGAGAAGACATTGTCTAGACATATGGACATTAATACTCAATGATGATTATGGGTAGAACATGAAGCTTTATCCTAGAGCTGTCCTGACCTCAGTGACTGTGTTGACATTTTATTAACATGAGAGTGATCTTCTATGGGGCAATCCAGTTTGTCAAGTCCAATCTTAGCCACATGATACTACAAATTGCAACCAAGGGTTGATGATGTGCACAGAAAATGCAACCTTAGCTCTCTAGCTATTAGAGGAGTATGTGTCTTTTGGTTTATTTTATCAACTAAATTGGATTCTGGTACCCACATCGTTCTCAGTATGTCCACTTGTGATGAGTCACAGTCATGAAGCAGCTGACTCCCGTCCCCCAGGAATTACTCATCGATATTTCTTCTCCATGCTAAAATGAACAGCTGCATGTTTTTAATCTGTGAAACACTAAGAGCAAATCTTAACTAAACATCAACCTCTTATATTTGCTCATTAGTGGGGTTAGTTGATGTCCATGGAATGCCTAATTTCCCCCTGTGGTAGTTATTAATTATGTGCCCCAATTTTCTTTCCAGTGCTTTAAATCATACTAGGAAAACATTCAGAAGGGATTTTCTTTTCCACTAAAAAGAAGAAATGGTGTCCTATTAGTATAAAAACTTGTAAACGTAAAATTTAATTAATGTTCTGTTATGAAAATATTCCAGAATAAGCAGGTTTAAGCATTTTTTTTATGCTGCAAGTCTTTATCTTCGTCTCACTTACCTTCCTATTTCATTCCCCCTCCTCTATCTCATCCTTTCTTTTATCTCACATTTTATTTTACATGTTAAATCAGTTTTAAGTCTGTAAAGCAGTTATGTGAAGTGGATACTGTTTCAGGCTCTTCATTTACATTGTGTGAAGATGTGTCACTGTGATTGGTTAAATAAAGAGATGCATGGCCAATAGCTAGGTAAAAGGAGGCTAAGCACAACTTCTGGGGACAGAGAGGCCTTGGAGAAAAAGAAAGAGAGGGTCGCCAGCCTGACACAGAGGACGCAGGATATGCAAGAAGAGAGGTAAAAAACCATGAGCCATGTGACAGCACTTAGATGAAAAGAAATGGGTTCATTTAAGTTATAAGAGCTAGTTAGAAACAAACCTAGGCTAAGGCCAAGCTTTCACAATTAATAATAAGTTTTTATGTCTTTATTTGGGAGCTGGTAGTACAGAGAAAGACTCATTACATATGGCGTCCAGCATGGGGGCTCAAATATCCGAACATAGGACCTGAGAAAGCTAAGAAAAGGAACCAGATGAAGCTTCTTAGTCTTGCAGTCTGCAGGCTGGTGATTAGCATACAGAAGCATGGCTGTGGCCTGCGGGCTGCGGGCTGGAATCAGTCACGAGCGCCATCGCCATGTCCTGACTTGAGCCACATGATGGTAGCTGGCACAGCAGTTAAAGATTTGTCTCAAGCGGTCAGAGAATGTTGAAGATTATTACAGTAAAGCCAGGTCCAGACACATAAAAACACTAAAAAGGTACAGTATATTTAAAAATGGACTTAGATGCTGGAGAAAGAGAAGAAAATGAATATAGTCAAAAAAATAAAAATAAAAACCACCTACCATTCTACTCCATCTTCATGAGAGAGAGGTCAATGGAAGATGAATTTTAATAAACTATGGTACCTGATCTTGTCATCTGCAGACACATGTGAACAATATTATTGAAGAAGTTAAAAATATATGCCGTGTTCTGGGCTTTGTTGAAACCAAGCAGGTTTCAGATGCAGTGAAAAATCTAAATCTACTTCAGAAGAGACAACCGCAGGTAAATATATTCAATTGGTACAGTATAATTAAACTTGCATGCAACAATCAATTAAAGACAATGAAGTATTTTTACTCCTGGAAATCATGTCTGTGTGCACATGTGTGTTTGTATGTGCACATACAGTATAAGTCAAATATTCATGGGTACGGACAGCTCAATTATGTTACACCAAAGAGTTCCAATTAAATTAAAAAAGACATTTCTAATACACTGACACTTGGGAAATTTGTGACTTCCCCCAAACTCTTCAATGCGAGCCCACTGGTATGTCAGAAGATGCACTGCATGGTGTTCAGCAGCGGTGTGTATGGGCCAATGATGGTACAGAGATGTGTATGGGTCCCTTGCATAGGTACAGAGCTGCCCTGCCAGAAGCAGGAGAGTGTGTCTGTGTTTTCTCACAGAAGGCAAAGCAGACACTGATGCTAGTGAGTTCTGGGGGAAATCTCTGGGAATTTTACCCTGTACTATTTAATACTTGGAAGGGTTTTTTTTAAAAAGTAGAGCATTATGCAAGTTTTTAAATCTGTGGAATAAAAGGAAGTTTCCACTGTGAGTGCCAATCAAAAGCAATATTCAAGAAATCCATTCACACATGTCTGTTACTCTAGCAAACAACAAAACAGAAATCGAACAACCATGGCAATATGAAAATAACATTAACAGTAGCAACATGATAGTCCCCTTCACAACATGTAAAACCCCATCTATATTAACACATCTCATGTATCATGGTCACTCTATACAGGTTCACTGGTGATAAGGTTTAATTTATAAAATAGACGTGTAAAGAAACCAATGAAAATGATAAAGTATAGCAATGTAATTGCGTATTATAACATATAACACTACTGTAAGCATCATTATTCTGACTCATTGAGGCCAATGAGTCAAATATGGTCACTTGAACACAAGTATTCCAAAACCATGACAGCTAATTTTGCAATTCAGATGTTACTAAGTGACTGATGGGCAAGCAGCAAATACTGTGTGGATGCTGGGGATAGAGGGATGAGTTTGGCCCTGGGTAGTAAGGAGTTGGAGAGGGAGGGCTCTCATTTATTACTCAGAATAATGTCCAACATAAAATTTGTGAATCATTTATTTCTGGAATGTCTTACTAATACATTCAGAATGGGTTTGACCACAGGCTGCTTGGACCTCATGACAGAGGAACTATTACAGTTAACATTTGATAAATATTACTCATTTTATATAATCTTATTCTACGTCAACCCTTTCACATTACAATGCCATAAATTTGGTATTAGCATGCTCACTTTATTATTCAAATCACTGGCACACAGTGTTTGGGTGCAGAGGATGAATACACGAATACATGAATTCTTTATCTGCACGGGGAAAAAGAACAAAGATGATGCTACTTTTAAATATATTAGTCTAGAAATTCTCAAAAACTTGATTTCAAATGCGCCTAATCATTTTTACTGGATATGGAAGTAATTATGCTGCCTGCTTATGTTGCTGACACCAGAGTGACTATACAAAGTCAGTAAATGAATGCAAGGCTACATCTTGTTTTAATCAGAAGTTGTTTTGTGATTCAACAATGGAAATAAATAATTTATTTGTATTCTGTGAACAGTGATGGTGACAATTCTAAAATGTCCCAGACACAGATCACCAAATATGCTAAAAATAAACATTAGCTAAAAACTGAAACATCTATGCAGTAATAACAGCCATGTTTAAAATAATCAATAATCCCCAAGTTTAACGTTTAACAATGATTTTCGTTCTAAATTTTCTGTAGTGAAGAAACCTTTTTTACTTTCCCATTTATTGAGTTACTTTCCTGTGTCTATGGCAGAATGTCTGACAAAATCACAATAAGGAAGGAAGTGTCTGTTTGCACTCACAGCTCGAAGAATGGTCCATCAGCATAGGGCAGTTGAGGCATCAGGAGCTGGACATAGCTGGTCATGTTGTCTTTGAAGGCAGGACAAAGAGAGCAATGAACACAGGTTGCTGCTCACTCCCTCTCTCCATTTACATAGTCCAGGACTCCAGGCTAGGAATAGCATTATCTGCAGTAGTAGTTAGTACAATCTGCACTCAAAAGCTAAAATAACCTAGAGAATCCCTCATCAGGATACCCATGGGCTTGGTTCCTAGGTGAATCTAATCTTTAGATTGTGTCAATTGGATAGCCACAACTAACCGTCACACCACTAGTACAGAAGCAAGTGAAATGACTATGTAGTCTCTAAGCTGTATTTTGTATAGATATCAAGATCTGTGGTCTTCACATGTGATAATAAGATGAGAAACATGATGTGCCTACATTTAATTTGATTGTATTGTTCTCCTGTGTCAGGACAAAAATCAAATAATGCTGTGGTCTGGAAAAGCATGCCACCCATGTATTCTGAAAATAAATATTTCTATAAACTTTATAATTGAAAATTTTTCAATTCCACTAAATAATGTCAAGCCAGAATGACAAACCAGTGAGAATTATCTCACAAAAAATAAATCATGTCTTTTTGGTCACCACACTTTGGCGACGCTGCAAGCATCTGGAGCTGATAGCAAAAAACAATGATCTGCATTGCTGCAAATGTGACAGGGATCCAAGCTCTCTGATTTCCTATCTGAGTCAGATTGTGAGAAATCCATTGACCTCTCTGGTTTTCCTTGGTGGAAGTTAAATCAGAAGCACTGTTAACACCTAAAGGTGGTGCAGATGCTTCTTGTGGAAGCTCTAAGTCTCCATGCCCAAGGTCAGCATGGAGGTTTAAGTCACATAAACCCCACCCCTGCCCCCATCATCTCATGGCCATTAACTTGTCTAGTCATTTTATGACAAACACAGACCTTTGTCACAGCAGACCAAACATGGATTTATATCTTCACTGTAGAGAACATTTGGCTAGATTTAATTTTTTTTTTGATGAAGATGCTTTTCACATGATATTAAAGTTCTCTAAGGAATGAAATGCCTGGTCTTCCTAACAAGTCATTTCCTAATTCCCCTAAAAACAACAACACTAAAATTTTCTCCAAGATACTCAACTTCTTCGTAAATCTGAAGCTAAAAGAACCCATTATGGGAAAATTGGCTATTTCCTGAGAATGCCATGAGCAATTATGCCCAAGCAAAGCTTAGATTTATGCATTACAGTCCTTTTGTGCTTATGAACTGAATGTGTGATTTTTTCTTAACAACTGAACTCATATATAGTCGCATATTTTCATGAAGGAAATTATTTGAATGGACAGAAACAAAGAAAGTAGAGAACTGAGAGTTTCATTTTATTTAGTAGTAAATAGTTTAATCATCTCTGTCCCAAATCCAAGATCCTAATTATTTTACAGACTTTAAAGTTCATTGTTTCCATTTGGATATACTAAGCCTGCCTATCAATTTCCTAGCCTGTCTTAATTGTGAGCCTACATACAAAATAATACTAGGACTAAATACCAAATGCATTTGACATGATTTGTGCAATAACCAATATCAGTTAAAAAGTCAGCAAGACCAACCTTTCTACCCACTCTGAACCTAAGATAATAAATACTAAGGCGTCCAAGTCTCTGACAGGAACTCTCAAATTTGAGGTGCTTTGCTTTTTTCTTGACTTCATTTTCAGTTTTCTTTGCAAGACACTATTTTCGGCCATGTAGGGAAGTAATTAAGTATCTATTAAATGAAAGTTTGGCAAAATGAAGAATTAAATTATACACGCACTTCTATTCTATTCTGTGTTCCCACTTTGTACTGGAAGCAATCCTTAGCCTTCGTGTTTTATTTCAGAAACTCATTTAATATATTTTTGTAAAATGCTCCAGAAAACTGAAGCACAGAGTGAAAAATATGTTCTTTCCTACTGTGCCGTAGGTGTATGTCAGGGTGATTTTATAATGCATGTCTACGCTTCTGAAGAAATTGAATTTTAGTCAAGCTAGGCTAACAGCTCAATAGTCTAGCCCACCTGGACGGAATGAAGATAGTATCTGGGGTTGTGGGGACTGGTATTTGATGCTGCATTCTAGTGAAACATTTACCTTACAATAGTGCTTCTGAGATTCATAAAATGACATTTCGAGCCAAAGGTTACATTCAAATTTAATTATATGTTACCATGGTAGAAATATTCTTTCTCTAAAGGAATCCTCTAGAAGTTCTTTGATACAAAAACTGCTGTTCTCTAATTTATTTGCTTAATAAATATGCACTTTAGTTCGTTGACTTCCCTATAAGTAAACAAATATTTTTGATTGAAAAAATTAGTTGAATAGTAATTCACTCTTGTTGTCCCAACTACCGTAAGAGCTGAAGCAGGAGAATAGAGGAGTCTAGAAACAGAAGTCACACATGTCCCATGCATCAAGACCCCATATGTAAAATAAAGTCATTTTTCCATCTTCCAAAAGTTGTGTCAACCAGAATAAATGTTATTAGAAAATTGAACACCCATTTCTGCTCCAGCATCAATTTCTAGTGGACCTGTGAGTCACAGTGTATAGTCTTCACAGTAATAAACTTAAAACCAGCAAGCATCAAGCCAGCTAAGAAATTATACACACAACAATAAAGTCATTATGTTGTGGACACTAATATATATGACAAAGAAAAGAATATAATCAGTATCATTTCATATTGTGGTTTTTATTTGTGATATGATTTAGTGTATTTTCTTCTGTGTTCAACTATGAGTTAATTAATACTCTATATGATTCTTTTCCCACTTCATCAGGACTCTTTAGGATGGTCCCCTGAGCTTGTGTCTGAATATCTATCTGCTAATAGTAAAAGGTAGGCAGTGAACAGGGAGAATTTGAAATGTACTTCTAACAGATTAGTTCCTGTCATGGAGGAGAGTCAAAGCTTAGACAAGTTCTGCAGAGTGCTTTAATAATAAAAAGCACAGTCAGTTTAAGCAATCCCTTTTTAAAAATCAAATAACCTACATTACTCATTGCAATATCCAGAAGGTTTTCTTATTATACTATGTAGATTTCCAGTGTTTAACATGCAACAGAGATAAATAATACTGATAGATATTTTTTATTATTTTCTCATTTCAAAGTAATTATAGTGTGTTGATTTTGAATATTACTGGCTTGATGATTTTCTGAATATGTAATACATATATTTCTTTATTTCTTTAGAATTTTCATGAGAAATCAGAAACTTCAAAAAAAGGTAATGAAAATATATATATTTAAACATTGGAGAAAAAATAAAGGGAACGAAGAGTATGAGTCTTAGAATTCCTCAATTTTTTTTTCAGTTACCCATCTAAGTACTGTGGTAACACACATCCACAGACAAGGAGAAAAGTGGCTCACTCAGACCTTAATATCCTCTCTACTGATGGAGGTCATGGATTCACAGAGGGAATAAAATGGGTGTCATTATTTAAACCTTTATTCTGTTTTTTTTTTAATGAAGTGAGAAAAGTAGAGAGACCTAACACTGAAAGGAGTTTTGTTTTCCTTCCTTCTTCCTTCCATTTTTTTTTGAGATGGATAGAATTGTATCACTATACTGGAACTCACTCTGAAGATAAGACCTTGAACTCCCTGATATCTTCCAGCTTCTGTCTCCCAAAAAAGTAGAAGTAAAGACTTGTTCTCTTAACCATCCAAAGACACTGCAAAAAAAATTTTTTACAGTGAATCATATTTTGTAATGAGAAAAGTTGCAAGCATTGATCTCCAAAGTCATTAATTTTGAATTTAAACTCAAGCTATATTTGAAAGACCAACTGATAGACTAGGCAGAAGGATTGGGTTTTGAAGCAAGACTCACAGAGAATCTGGGATGATGGTACTGAAAACAGAAGATCTAGTTTCCAACAACAGCTCTACCACATCTGAGCTTTGGCAGCCGAGAATAAACTCTTAAATTATCAGCTGTTGTAATAGGCCCAAAATATGACAGTTTGTGGTGAGGATGTTATTCTCACAGGGGGGGGGGTGATCTTTGGAAGAGGAACACATGAACATCTTCCAGGGACAACATAACTAACAACTGATAACCTTGAATGCAGAGGTGACCATGCGATGTATTTGAAACAACCCACTTTCCACACAGTTAGTACAGTCTCCATTCTAATTCAAACAGTTGGAAAGCGTTGTTCAATGATTTTCGAGTCACCCTCCATGTGTCATCACAGAAGGTGATGCAGGGGCAGAGGAAATGGAGAAAACACTAGAACTAGTGCGAAGGGGATGATCAGAAGACTCTAGGACATGGAGGGATAGAAGAGACACCAGCTGCCTCAAATGTTCCTGGCACAGATTCTTAGGATCATTGTGGAGAGAACAGGCACAGTTATATTGATAGGAAGCCCTGCCCTTTTCTTTTGGGAGTGCTGTAATGAGGTCTTTTACCTCATACCATTCAGGGCATTAGAATATGAGATTCCATAAAAAAATGAACATCAATGTGTCCAAAGACTTATATTCCATAATATATCACAGCAGATTTCAATTCATGTGTTTTTGCTTTGCAAATAAATTAACATTGCAATTCTTTTCTCAGAGAAAAATACAGGTGTGATAAACATTATTTCACCATATTTCTCCACCAAGCTCAAGGTTCACAGAATGATTTGATGATGTCATTGTTGTATACATATGTTTGTGCAAGTGTATATGAGCATGCTTTGTGCTTAGAGGAAATCACACCCCTCTTTGTTATTTGAGGCGAGGTCTCTTACTACAGTTGGAGTTTACCTGACACAGCAAATATCAGGAAGCCATCCATTATTGCCTCGCAGTGCAGAGATTACAGATGCAAACAACTGTGTCAAGTCTTGCTTTTAAATATTTATTTTATTTTATATATGTGAATGTAGGCCCAATTTTATTGTTAATATGGATGGTGCCCATGGAGACCAAAAGAGGGTAGCTGGAGTTACAGCAGTAAGCTGCCATGTGGATGTTGGGAACCGAACCCATGTCCTCTGTAAGAATGTCTAGTGTTATTATCTACTGAGCAATCTCTCCAGCCCCCATGCCTAGGTTTTTGAAGTGAGTCCTGAGGACCTTATCTCAGGTTGTCGTGCCTTTACAGCAGGTTTTTGTTAACTGGGGCATTTCTGCAACCTCGGTGATGCGCTTGAAATGAATTCTTCATTCATAGTCTGGAAACACGGGGTACATTGGTACATATTACTAAACAATCTCACAGAAACAAATAATAACCCAGAACTCTCTCTCTCTCTCTGCACTGACAGTAAAGAGTAGAATGTGATAAGTATCAAAATAATTCAGATCCTCAAAAATACGAACTTGAAAACAGATCAATAATGTTAGATACATATTCACTGGCACACTTCCTCAAGATTAGGAGTTAACAACAAGGAGTTTGTGCTTTTTACTCCAAATAACTGACAAAACAATCTGAAAACACAAGATGCTTCTAGAAACTTAGAAATTTCTGCCACCCATGATTCAGGAGAAATCTCTGTTGGATGGCCTCCAGGGTTTGACAAGCCTTCTTTTAGGACTATTATGATGCTGCTTTTTGCTTCTGCTTCATTAATTCCTACCGCTGATTTCTCAGAGAAATTTAATTAGAGCCTTTTCTCTTTGCTCATCTTCCCCTAGGCTGTTGCAAAAAAAAAGGGGGGGGGGAACCATTTAAGGAATGATACAAATAAGCACAATTTGTCTATCATAAATTTCGTGTGCGTTTATGAATAACTAAGTGAATAATAGCATGTATTGAGCAATAACAAAGAGCGCTTAATTGTGGGCAGAATTGCTGGAGGACAGGATGTGGGAAGAAGAGACAGCTGAAGCTGGGTACAATCATGAGGAGCCTATGTACTCTCACATTGGAATGGTGTAGAAAGCTCAAGAAAAAAAAAAGCTAGCTCTTTTTGCCATTTTCTTTTCAAAACAAGTAGAAGCAAAGACACAACTAATGTTTCAGAAGTGCCTTTGGAGAAAGTTGCATGTGTCTCCGTAATTGGCATGACTCAGAGTGTGCTTGAAGGGTCTATGGGCATGCTGATCTGTCCCCTCAACAATTCCTTTGCTCCTTTAGGAAAATTATTACCTGATTCATCATTTTTCTTTCTTCATCATCACCCTGGCTTAATTTAAGTGATTATGAAAAAACTATCCTAACAAAAAACAGCTCAGAAACAAAACAGTTTGTTTGGCTTTCAATTCAAAGTTACAATCCATTATTTAGGGAAAGTCAAAGCAGGAATTCAAAGTAGCATACCCACAGTCAAGAGTAGATCCTTGCATATCCTTGTTTGATTGCTCTGGTCTAGCTTTCTTCTGTCTTAAATTTTTCCAGACAGCTAGCCTAGGGAATAGAAACCACCCACAAAGGGCTGAGCCTTCCTGCATCAGGTAGCAAGAATGAGGTCAACCCAATATAAAAAACCAGTCCTGGGACTCTCTCCTCAGACAACTGGAGGATATATCAAATTGACGGTAAAAACTGATTCTCACAATGACAATCCTTTTACATCATCATAAGACAGGCAAATAAAATTTTTTAGATTAAATTAATTTGAAGTAATCAAAAAACATTTAAAAATATAATCCTTTAGTTAAAGGTAACTCTAAATATTTTTAAGCCAGAAGGTAATTGATTATAAATTTCAATCGATTGGTATGTCAAGTTAATCATAAAAAGAGCCTCAATTTGTAACTAAACGGTCATGTTTTCAAAATCTGGATTGCTGAAGATACAGACATGTTTAGACAGATGATCGGCCAGCAGCTTGCCAGGCTGCCTCCAGAGGCCCAGATGGCTAATTGGCTTTAGTTAGTAAGGGTCATTTTAATTAAATTTTATTTAAATTTCATTATCAGAGATTTCAAAGCTGTAATTGATGGTTTATGAGAAATACGACCCTTCACAGACATCCCAATCTCTTTCCTTTCCTCCCGTAGGCTTCATGGAGAAAGCGACAGCTGAGCTATCAAGGGCCATCTACCAGCTCATTGAAGTGTACTGCAGCAGCTTCTCCACAGATTTCCAGCCTGGGCATCCACCTGGAGGTGCCTCCAGCAACCACGCTGGGCTCCATTCCCACCTGAGCTTCACAGTGTGCAGCCTGCACAATGTTCCAGAGACTTGGGCACACGGGTGAGCAGCAGAGAACTTTCATAATTGCCTCCTGAGTGCAATTAGCTTTATTCTCACTTGAAGAAGCAAATCTGCCAGAAAATGTTGGGAAATCAATTGATGAAGATTTATTTTTCATTTTAAGATCACTTGATATAAGTTAGATTTCCCCTTTCACCATATTACGATAATGGCTGCAGGCAGTGACTCATGTGAGATATAGACAGTGTTCATCTTGGTTAGTGGCATCTCTAAATTTTATTTTTCATGATTTAGTTTAAGTGATTAATGTTAATTGATAGAATAGAGGGGGAGAGGAAGTACATGCACAGGCACTAAGAGTTTTTCATTGATAGCTAAGGATTGCTAGTTTCTCTGTTCCCTATAAGGCTGAGTGGTACAGACAATTCTTCAGGTGAGTATCTTAACGAAGGAAGAGTTACCAACAGAGTATTTGATTTTCACAATTATTTATGGAATACTGCTGGTTTTAAGTTAACTACATTTTCTAGAATAACATATTTATAGTAACATTGAATAATTTATATTCTTGAGTGAATATAGGTTGATCAACTTTATAAAAATTAATTAAATCAATTATTAGAGAACATACTATACATACAGCATTTGTCACCTGAAAGAAAGAAAAGCTGAAATAACCAATAATTAAAATGAATAATTTTAAGATTCATATATCATTATTAATTCTTAGAGAATTCCATACTTTGCAATGATCATGTTCATTCCTGTTTCAACAACTCTTACCATACCCACCTACATCTGTACCCACCCAATTTCATAGTTTCATTTTCTTGTTCATAAATCCAGTTCAATCTGACAGCTCATATCCCATGGGCGTTGGCCATCCACTGGAGGGTGGTTGACTTAGAAGGGGCCTTTGTGACTTTGAAGAGAACTAACTTACCAACAGCGACTAGACTAAGGATGGGGCTTCATGCACATCCCCTTCTATGAGCTGGGATTTTGTCTAACTTGAGTTTTTGCAAGTCTTGTGGGTGCTGTCACAAGGGTTTTGGGTTCATACATGCATCTACCCTGTTTTCTCCAGGAAAGTTACATTGTCATCATCCGTCACCTCTGACTGTTGCAGTCTTCCTTTCCACTCTTCCTGGAAGTTCCTCCAGTCTTTGGAGGAAGGTATCTGTCTTTAGATTTTTATTAATCATGCTGCATGTGCATGTGCGTGTAAATGTGTGTGTAAAATAAAATGTGTACATACTTATATCATGAGTATAAAAAATAAAATTTATCTCTCTTTATAGAAAGCTATTTGTATACTCATCACTTCCGTAAAATGGGAAATATTTATGTGATATGAAAGAAAAGCAGAATTCATGCTCTTCTTTGGACTCTACCTAATGTGACCGTCACTCATTTCCTGTCTTGATTTTATGATGAATTTTAAAAGAATGCTGTGTAATTGCTGTGACTCTAGTGAATAATTTATTATAATTTTCTACTCATAAGTAAATTTACCTTACTTTTGATTCATATGGAAATTCTCTATAACTTGATAAACACAACTAAAGCTATATATGCTGCATATATACATATGTATTTGTGCATCTATTTATACATACATATATATGTAACGTGTCATCTATACATCAATATGTACATATATATAGATGAGTGAAATACAGATGAGATATATAGATGAGTGAAAGATCTATACATCAATATGTACATATATATATAGATGAGTAGATTTGATCATAGTGTGTATTTGTGTAACCACAATCTATTCAACTTTCCTTCATTTTTCTCTGAAAATCCTGTGTATTCCATCTAAATTGTTTCATCATATTTTAACAAATATAACATTGTTACATCAAGATAGTTATGTATGCATGTACATTTAACTGTGGATACAAAATGATACTTTTCAACAAAAAAACCACTACAATAAATAAGTGAGAACCTTAGTAGATTTTTTTAAATGTACATTTTATTCACTAGAAAAAACAACTTTTAAGACTAGACTTGGAGGCTGTCTCCCCCCCCCCCAAAAACACAAAACCTTCTCCTCTCTTAAGGAATTCAGGGCCAGCCAGTCTTCTAATGCAATGCTGACAAACTGAAAAATTGTAAGTTTCCCTGGTGGCCTAGATATTGACTTGTACTTGTCAAAGCTCTCCAAAATTTAGCAGTGTAGTACAACAGACTAATATCTCACACTCTGAGGACCAGAATGCAGGGGGAAATCTGGCTAAATAGTTCTGGGTAGATCTAGATGAGCCCTGTTATATTCATATTCAGTCATACTATAGAATAAAAGTTCTCTCTTAAGCTCATCCTTATTGAAGAGGCCTGTGTATCAGAACCACAACTTTATCTGCTTATGCATGCATATATTGCATAATACTTATCTTCATAATTACAAATTATGAATTTTCTACAAATTGCCCTCTATAATATCTATACAATAATCCCAAAACTTCTTAATGTATGACATATACTCAATAAAGATTTACTAAAAGTGTGTATATATATAAACTTCTTTAAATAGAACTTTGTAAGTCATTTGATTTATGAAATAATTATATGGGTCAGAAGAGCCAAGGTCAGGAATAAGCTATGTTAGGAACTGAACAACTGTAGATTGTAAAATAAAAGAGAAACAAGAGACTCTGGAAGCAAAGAAGATACTGTAGTAGGTATTCGATCTTGAGTTCCAAGGGCCAGCACCAGTGGAAACCAATCCAGAACAATTAAGGCCAGCTGGAGAATGGTTGATTGGAAAGCCACAAGGGCCATTGCTAGTAATAATAAGAATTATATAGAACCATGTTATAGGTTGGAGTTATATTAAGAAATCTGACAAAATGTTTTAATGATATTCAGTTAATTCCTTGAGATTTAATGCAATGTATTTTGATCATATTTGCCTCATCCCACAATCATTCCAGAACCACTTCTACCTACCTAACAACTTCTGTGCTCTCTTTCTCCCTCTCATCTTTCTCTCCGTGTTTGTCCTTCTTTCTGTTTCTCTCTATGTTTATCAGTCTATATGTGGTGTGTGAGTGTGTGTGTGTTGCTTATATAGTTTGTTGTGAAGGTCACATTATCTAGACCTGGCTGACCTTGATCTTAAAGTCTACTTGCCTGCATCTGCCTCCAGAGTGCTGGCATTAAAGATGTGTGCTTGTACACCCACTGTTCTTTTGTTTAAACTCTTTGAGCGTAACTTGTTTTACTCAAATACTCCTGGATATAAGCACTGTTCTGGAAGCAAGGCCCATGTACCAGAGGCCAGATTCTTAACTAAAACTGACTCTTCCTCTTCTAAAACCTATCAAGTGTTAATAGCCCCTTAGCTAGGTAGAGAGCAAAGAACATGTTTAATCTCTTCAATCATTCACAAAATACAATGCATACCATGTTATGGTAATTGGAATGTCAGTGCAATTATGCATAAATGTGTTATGTGCATAATAATGTATATTCTATAATAAATTATATTCATGTGTAAATATTTTGACATTTGTAATTATGAAGACTCCAAGCACATTAGCAAACTGAAATTGCTTCTTAGTGAGAGGATTCTCTCCTGATGAGGCACATCAGAAAGATTCCTAAAGGCTCCTTGTCATGTAACCTTTGCTATCCAAAGGTATGTGAGCAGACTGTCTTTCATGAATGTCATTGAAACTTCATTTAATCTCAAATTTTCATGTCACCATGTCAAGCAATATGAATACTGGGAGAACACTAAGAAATTTGCTCTAAGCTTAAAAATAATTTATATATATATATATATATATATATATATATTATATATATATATATAGAAACTAGTAACACCTAGGATTAATTAACCTATGAGTTGGTCCTTTGAAAAGATGAACAATATTTACAATATTGGCAGAGCCCCAGCCAAACCATATGATAATTAATTAATTATCCCATATGATATTAACTAAACCATATGATACTAATTAATTAATAATTAGAGACAAAAATGTTCCTCTTTGAATAGACCTCAATGAAACTCAGGATATTATTAGATAATAATTTGAAAATTTATATCCCAAATTTTGGAATGCTTGGAATAAGTAGACACATTTTTAAATACATATGACATGCCAAAACTAGTAGCAGGGCATATAAACAGTTTACAAAGGTCCAGGACAAGCAATGAGGTCAAGTCAGTGATAAAAAGTATCCTCATAAATTAAAGCCTGAAACTATACAGATTCACTGATGAATTTGTTATTCCAACCCTTCTCCATTGCTCTACAAAACTGAAAGAGAAGGAATTAATATAAAGTCGGGATTACCCAGGTAACTCTGAGATATTAACAGACAGTTAAAAAATTAAAAATGCAGGTCAGGTTTCCTGATGAACAAAGATGCAAGATTTCTCAATGAAATACTGACAAATAGAATTCAAGATCACTTTGATCTATCAAGGGCAAAACTTAATCAAAGTCAAGATAGAAGCTTAAGGGCAGAAATCACCTGACCACCTTGAGCAATACAGAAAAGGAATTTGACAAAGATCAATATGCCTTTATGATAAAAGTCCTAAAAAAACTTTGAATAGACAAAATACACCTCAATTTAATAAAGGTTGCGTACTACAAATTTAGAGTAACGTACTAAATGAGGAAAACCTGAAATCATTAATATAAAATCAGAATGGATAAAGGTGCTTACGTTCTCAACTCTTGTTTAATGTACTGTTTGAAGTCTTAGTTAAAACAATAATACAAAGATATAAAAAGGGATTACAAATAGAAAAGTAAAAGGAAAAATTATCTCTATTTATAAATGACATGCATCACGGTTTTATATTTAAAATATTTTGTGGACTCAACTGGAAAACTCTTAAATCTGATAAACACTTTCAGGAAAATTATGGGTTATAAGTTAAAATACAAATAAATCGGAAACTTTTAGACATCGCAGCAATGAATTAGCTGAGAAAAATTAGGAAAAAATATCCTACTCAAAGAAATTTCCAAAAAGTATCTAGAAATAAACTTGATAAATGAGGTGAGAATTTTAAGATAGTAATGTAATAAAAAGAAGAGGACTTGAGACAAAACAACTCTAAATTTGAAAAATCAATAATATGAAAATAGACAATAACAAAAATAATCTATAGGTTCGGTGCAATCCCCTTCAAAATTCTAATCACATTCTTCACAAAACTAGAAAGAAATGCCCTACATTTCAAATGGAAATACAAGGGAAAGCCATAGGAATACTACAGAGAAAGAATAGTGCTAGAGGTCTCACATTCCATGAGCTCAACGTTTACAGAGAGGTCATCCTGACAAAGACAGTGTGGCTCTGGCACAAGGGAGGCATGGAACTGTTGTGGGATAATCTTTGTGTACACTGTGAAGATGTGCCTCTGCTAAGGAACCTTCTGATTAGTTTAATAACAAGCTAAACAACCAATAGCTAGGCAGGAGAGGATAGGCAGGACTTCTTCCAAGCAGAGACAATAATATCAACCCTTAGCACTTCTCAAAAATTGATGTTTGGGATCACAAACAGAGAAATAAGGCAAGAGAAAAATGGATTCAATTTGGAAAATAAAGTCAAATTATCTATTTGCAAACAAGATGAGATTATGCTTAAAAGGCCCCAGGACAGCAATGGCATCTCAGATGTCATCACAAGCAACAGAGAAGAATGTGAACCCAGCTCTGAAAACAGGAAGTTTTACTAGATGACACTACCAAGCTTCTTAAGATAGAATTAGTAAGGGGGGGGTGGGGGAGTAAGCAAAACCTTTCCAATTCCTGCAAGAACCCAAGCAAATGTTTGAAAGAGCTCTATTGACAAAATCATATAGTCTGAGGAAAGACACTGAGCAGGACCCTAGAATACAGAAAAGCTATTCGAAGTCGGTCTGGCTAGATTAATGTTGAAGGAAATTGGCCATATTTCCAAAAGCTGTCTATAGATTCAATGAAATTCCCATCCAAATCTCAGTGGTATTCTTCATAATAATATAAAAATTAAAAAAATGCAATGCATATGAGAACACAAAAAGGAAAGGCATATAAAGTGTGTTGAATGTGTTCGGCCTTCACATCAAGGGAATGCAGATCAAAGCTCTATTGGGGTTCTGTCTCACCCGAGTCAGAACTAACCAAGGAAGGAAAACTCAACAACCACTGGCAGAATATGGTGAGATGAGACTGTGCACTGTTGGTGGGAAAGCAGGTAGTGCAGACAGAGATTCCCTATGCAGAGTCCTCAAACATGCACAAATGGACTACCGCATACCTCTACTGTGCCCCAATGGACCTACTATGTGAACACTCACACACCCTGTGGAAGGCAGCTCTCCTCAGCACAGGCAAGTGATGCAATCAGCTAGTTATCCAACTACATAAACAGAGGTAAAATATTCCATTTGAACACAATTTCAAATAATAATCCATTTGAACAGGGTATTCATGCCCCATAAATAAGAAGGAAGTCTTATCATTTCCAGGAAAAGGACAAAGTCAGAGATCAGATTAAGCAAGACAGTGCAGACAAATATCATCTGTTTGGTATTATATATAGAATCTAGCAGGGAAACTGATGGATGGGACATAAAATTAAAAGAGAGAATATTATGATTAAAGAAGACCAAAAGAAAGAAGGGGTGGAAAAAGAAAGGCAGCGGGATATCCAATGTTACTAAAATATATGATATGCCTTCATGAACATAGCACAAAGAAAACACTACTTCATACAGTAAGTATATGCTCATAAAAATAATTAATTACTCTTTCAAAAAGAAGACTTTTACGGTGATTGGTGCTTGTAGTACAGGCTTGAGCAGCTGAGACAAGAAGACCACACCCAACTTCATGACATCTTGGACTACATATGATTACCTGGCTACCCTGGATTACAGAGTGAGACAGTGTCTCAGAAACAAAACAAACAACAACAGCAAAAACAGCAACAACAAGCATCACACAAAAATAAGACTATTGTCTTCCAGTTTTGTTGTCAGCAGCCCCCAGTGTCATGTCTTCCCCTATCAGCCTTTAAATGCACACAAGAATGAACACAGCCCTTGCGTCTCTGCCTCATTAGATGTAAATTACAGGTCTTTTCTCCTCTTCTTGAGTGGCTATCTGTGTGTTGGAAGTCCACTGCTTCCTCCAACAAATGGTAGCAGAGGAGGGGCTGAGGCTGAACCTCGTATGTTTCCAAGACTGCTTTGTTGTAACTACTCTTGCAGTCAGGTATACAACCTTTACTACAGGTTTCTGGTTTTCCCAGAGGGGATTGGTCCCTGTGTCACTGAGCTGGTGTCTCCACAGCCACCCTAGAGTCATGGGACTGCCTATTCTGCAGTCTTTCTCACACATCCAACATAAATTTTTATGGTGATTTTTTAAAGCACACTTAACACAAGTAAATGTATTTTTATCACTTGACTTTGACAATAACAATAATTGACCCTTTTAGGAAACTGTCTCCTTCCATGTGTAGCATTTATTGGATCAATGTTTCTTTTCAGCTACAAAGCATTTTCGTTTTCCTGCTGGCTCACATATGCTGGGAAGAAGCTGTGCCAAGTGAAAAGCTGCAGATCCGTGCCAGTCACAAAATCATTCTTTCTTCTGGTCAACTGGAATGAAATGTAAGTTTAATCTTTATTCCGGCTGTGTTGGCTAGCTAGGAAAAGTCAGCCCTTATTTCCATTTTAAACAGGACATGGAGAGAGAGAGAGAGAGAGAGAGAGAGAGAGAGAGAGAGAGAGAGAGAGAGAGAGAGAGAGGCAGAGAGAGAGGCAGAGAGAGAGAGACAGAGAGAGAGAGAGAGAGAGAGACAGAGAGAGACAGAGAGACAGAGAGACATACATATACACACAGAGAACCCAGAGAGAGACAAAAACAAAGAGACAGACAGGCACACCCCCACACACACATACACACACGAGAGAGAAAGAGAGAGAAATAAAGAGAGAGAGAGAAAGACAGAGACAGAAACACCCACATGAAAGACAGATATACGCATACACACAAAGAGAGGCAAAAACCGAAAAACAGACACACATACACACACACACATGAGAGAGAGAAAGAGAGAGAGACAGAGACATACACATACAGAGAGAGACACAGACAGAGGCAGAGAGATTGGCCACCATTTAACTGATCCGATGGTACAGTAAGTACAGATAGGTACGTAGATAACACTGTTTCATCAACAGACTTAAAGCCCATCGAAAATCCCAAACCACCAAATCATTCCTGTGACTGAAGTGAGAAGCAGGGGAAATTGTAACTAGGAGAGGCACTATTGCTCACCTACATACTGAAGATCAGGGATATTCTGAAGTTTAACCGAGATGGTTTCAGCTAAAAGAAAAAAAAATCACCTGATAGTATGAGGTTTCTCTTTTCTCACATAAGTCAGTCATAATTTGTTTAAATGATCAGTGGGAGGTGCAAGCGTGCATGTATTGTGTGAATGTATTAATTGGCAGGAAGGGTGTAAAGAGAGGCTGTGCTGTTGATTCCCAAGTGCCAGTCCTGGGTAATCACACAAAGCTTAATGTTAATTACAAACTATATGGTCTATTGCTCAGTCTTATTGCTAACTAGCTCCTACTTTTAAATTAACCCATTTCTATTAATCTATGCAATGCCATGTGTCTCGTGTCTTACTTGTTGGTCTAGTACATCTCGCTGGTTCAGCTGCTGACTGCCATCTGCCAGACTCTGCCCTTCTTCTTCTCTGTACTTTTCAGTTTGGATTTCCCACCTACCCTTATTTTGTTTTGCTATAGGCCAAATTAGCTTCTTCATTAACCAATGGTAATGAAACATATTTACCTCATACAGAAGGGTTATCCCACAGCAGGAAGGCCCTTATTTCCACCCCTAGTGATCATTCCTTAAAATCCAAAGTCAAGTACCTGATTTTTTTTTGTGAAGATTCATTTATTTTATTCTATATGTGGGAGTGGTTGTCTGAATGTACTTTTGTGAGCTATGTGCATGCAATGCTCGTGGAGGCCACGAGAGGGCACTGGTTCCCGTGAAATGGTTAGGGATCACCGTGCAAGTGCTGAGAATTGAATCCCAATCCTTTTTTTTTTTTTTTTTTTTTTTTTTTTTTTTTTTCGCGACAGGGTTTTTCTGTGTTTTGGGAGCCTGTCCGGGATTTTTTCTTTTAAACCAGGCTGGTCTCGAACTCACTGTGTCCTATTCCCCAGCCCCTTAGCTACCTTCTTGACACTATCCCTGCATCCCTCCCCTTGTCCCCACAACACAAACCCTCCTACTCAAACTCTTGGTCCTACCACCCCCTCCGCAGCATCGTCAAGTTTCCAGAAGCAGTGATCTCTACACCTGCTTCTGTTCCACTTCCTTATGGCCCCTATTGTTTCTCTGAGATCAGTGTTCTCAACCTGCCCAGTAGAATACGCCGCCTCTTGTCTCTCAGCGTTTTTACCAGGTCTAGCTCTGGAAGACAATTTGGTTCTTTGAATTAACCTAACTCACTGAAGAATAAAATGTGAGTGTCTAGGAGTCTGAGGGTGTGGTTAAGTGACAACATCTATCCAACCATAGTGCTGCCACAGGCAACAGAGGCTGTGTCCGAGACAGGGTGTTCACCCTTCTGACCCCCCCCCCCCCCCCGCCCAGGATCTTTCCCACTCCACACCAAATTTAAATTACTCTATAACTTTCACATTCACCAGCATCCCTTCTTTGTTTAAGGTTTCTAATTCCTTTTACCAGAGATGCGACTTCCATTATCTGCCCCGTTTTAAAACCCAGAATCAGCTCTACCTGCAAACTTCTCCATCGTCTTTCCAATTCATTTAAACCCAAGCCCAAATAATTTAGCGTAGAGCACTGGCTGTCTGATTCTGGCCTCTGTGTCTTCACTTCCAGGACCAACCCTCGTCCTGCCTCTATCTTTCCTGTGAACGGGATCTACCCTACCGAGAACAGAGACCACTCTTTGCTAGAGGATCTCTTGGGTCAGAAAGGCACTGCTACTCTCCATCCATCTCGCAAACACTCTCAACTTCCTTCTCCTCGACTAATCTTTTCTGCATCGTGGATGTCCACCTTTCCTTTCGCTGCTTGGTCTGAACTCCGAACTTCTCTCAAATGGATGTGTCATTTTGTATTTCTGTCTGCATCTGCTAAGTGGAATAGATTACTTGTTTGTTTGTTTGTCTTAAGAAATTTTCATTATCTGTCAGCTAAGAGAGCACAATGTAGAATAAAAGTCCAGTGAGGGTTATTGGTTAATTGATAATTGTTTATGTAACCAAGAGCTCCTTTAAAATGTGATTAACCTGCTTAATTGATGAAATTATTTTTTCCATTTGACTAAAACCCATTTCTGGTTATTTCCAAAAATCAAAATCACTTTTACCTCAAGAGAAAAAAGAAGTCTAATTATACAGTCAGCTTCACAGAAAAATAAGGAAGTCATTAATATTTTTGAAAATGGTATTGATGCATTTATTTTCTTTAAACTGCTCAAGTGTTATATTTCTATGAGATCCTTGATCTCTGCCAATGGAGGAAGGTATTTCAACCTAGAGTCATTTTTCATTTTGCTTCCATTAAACATATTTACATTTCATTTCCCTAGATGCCACTAACAGTTTTACATACCTGGGGGCTGGAGAGATGGCTCAGTGGTTAAAAGAACCTGGGTTCAATCCCCAGCACCCATATGGCAATTCAAAATGTCTGTAATTGTAGTTCCAAGAGTTCTGACCCCTCACACAGACATGCAGGTAAAAGGCCAATTTACATAAAATAAAAATAAACAAGCAAAAACAGTTTTACAAACTCTATTAGCATGTATTCATTAATCAGAGTCGAAAGTATATTTCATTGCTGAACTTTAATACTAAGCACCAAATTGTCTCTGGTTTGCAAAAACTTTCTCACACAGAAAGAAAAAACATAAATGACAACTCATTTTTACCTTCTCTATGATGTATTTTTTATTTTTACGTACATATGTGTGTTTGTATGAGTACATGCCTTATATGTGAGGGTGCCCATAAAGGCCAGAAGAAAATGGCAGGCCTGTGGACTGGAGCTACAGGCAGTTGTGAGCCGCCTGACATGGATGCTGGGAACTGAACTTTGATCCCCTGGAAGAGCAGCAAGGGCTCTTAACTACAGAGTCAACTCCTTAGCCCTTATTGCAGTATTTTATGAAGTATACTTCTTTTTTTTTAAACTGAAATGTTCATTCTTTTGTTTTTAAGTAGTCAGGGAGAAGTTTAAAAACAGAAGCAATTTCCCAGTGAATGTGAGTCCACATATATTCAGAAGATGAGCAGAACACTACTTAGCATGCATGTACTCTTGCCTAAAATTGGTTTTTATGAAAGTGAACGGATGGAGATTGGCAGCAACCATCAACTGTAATGTCTCTGTTTTTATCATTCATAATGTGAAAAGCTCAAGTTATACAGGAAAACCCAGCTCTTCTGGGGAAAAAGAACTTTCTAGGTTATGTGAAAAATGGAATAAGATTATAGCTTCCATCTCAGAACAGAAAAATGGAATCGTAATAGAGAGAGTAGATTATAGATAAAAGAACATTCAAGAAATTACTGTGCCTTCTACATTATCATCTCAACATTTTATGCCATTTCGGAGATTCTTTTAAGCTCAGAAACATTTGCATGAATATGGAAACTATGAAATAATATAAGTGCAAAATACATAAACACCAAAATATGCAATGTTTTAATAAGTCTAAATTTTCCCTTCTTTAAAAGTAGGTTTCCATCACTGTTTTCTTTCCTCCCACCATGTTCCCCGGACTTCCACTAGAATTGCATTTCCTTTCCCTGGAAAGGAACTTTTTTATAAATAAAAATCTTAAATACACAGCAGCTAATATAAATGATTGTGTGACTGACTGAACGAAATAACGGAATGAAAAAGACAGCCTACTACCTGACACCCATTGTGTCATACCACAATGGTTTCATAGATGAGGAAAAATAGGAGTTAAGGTTAAGGGGGACTCATGCTCCCCATAAGCATTTTATTCATTCATAGCTCACAGCTGGTATTACCTTAGTATATAACATCATACACTAAAATTTCATTAAATTGCTTCAATCCCAGAATCCTCTTCTCTGTTTCCGATCAGTTAAATTATCTGCTACATTTCAGGGTAGAAACTAGACTTCACCATCAATTTCTTGCTATCCTTTTCTACTGTCAGTCAAATTTCTTTTATCTACCGTACCTCTAAAATACCTCATCTGGTCCTGTGACTGTTGTGAAGTCATTTCATTTGTATTTTAATAAATAAAGCTTGCCTGAAGATCAGAAGTAAAACAGCCCCAATGATCAGTCTTACAGATCAGGTAGTGGTAACACAAACCTTTAATCCCAGTGGCCGCACTAGTTTGCCATAGAAACCAGGTGGTGCATGCCTTTAATCCCAGTGGTGCACATCTTTAATCCCAGCCCTAGAGAGGAATATAAAATTGGAGGATATAGCTCTCAGACACAGTCTCATTCTGAAGTTTCCTGGAGGCAGGATCTCCATTTTCAGCTGGACATTGAGATCTTTGCATTTCTGGTCTTGAACCCCCAAATCTGTCTCTGAGTTTTCATTAACCATGCTTCAGACTGTGAGTTGTTCTATTATCACCCCTAGGTGCTTCTTTACATACATGTGCTGCAACTAAATCAGCCAGCCTTGGACCTATTTCTCCATAGTATACCCTCCCCAATCTGTTTTAAGGAAAAATCTCTACTCTTCCTGAAAAAAGGTACACTATTCTTCAGACCCAGCCAGTGCTGCCTTCTAGCACCCTCTGCTGTCTAGCACTCTAATAAACTCTTTGACTGCTGAATGGTGTTTCATCATTACTCTCGAACCCCATTCATCCCATCAAACCTAGTGCCATCCAGTACCTGAGCTCAGAGCATCTCAACTGCATTATATCCAGCAGACAGATGTGTTTGTGTTTTTCTAATCACCTCCCAAATTCCTGGGTCTCAGCTTATTCCAAATATAGAGTCATAAGTCACTCTTTATACTTTCATTCTTTTCTTTCAAGAATTCTCTTTCGCTCTTGGGGATATGTTCAAATTTCTATAATTGGTACTCAGAGTTCTTAGGAATTGAGGAGCACACATGTTCTTCTAGTTGTATCTTCTACTTCTTCCAGCTTGACCTTGTCTTTTATGGCAGCCACTATGAATGACTCACCATTCCTCAGGCACAGCTAATCTTTTTATTCATATTTCTTAGTCTATGTGTTGCATGACTTTTCCTGAAGAGGTGTGACATACATGTATTTACCCACATCTGTAACTGGATGATATACCAAAACGTAACTCTATTCAAATCTAGCGGCTGAGCTAATCAGCTTATAGCGCTAATTATAAGAGCAACAGGAAGCTACTGTAAAGCCCACCCCTCCCAGCTCCAGACACAGGTGACTCTTCTAGGCAGAGAGCATCCTGCTCTGGGCAACCCTTTGCTGCTTTTAACCTTGGAGAGGGACATCGTGAATCTCATGACTGTTTCTTAAACTTGAAATTTCCTGAGTTTCCTAAGCTTGATTTCATTAGCTTCCTGAGACTTAATGAGCCTCTCTCCTGCCCTAGAAGGAAATATTTTAATTCACAAGAATCCTCTTCTTTTACCCCATGCTGTGTGTTATGTACTTTTCCCTTCTTGAAATACATTTTTTTCCCTTCCTGGAATGGTTTTCTGAAACTGCATCTCATTGCAACCTAGCCTGAAAGATTCATGTTTCTGAGTCTGGAAAGATGGTTCAGTACTTAAGGGAATTTTCTATCAAGCTTAATTACTTGAGTTTTTACCCCAAGAAACCATATGGTAGAAGTAAAAGACTCTAGCAAGTTGCCCCCGATCTTACATACAAGCCATGCAATCACACAAACACACACGCACGCACACACACACACACACACACACACACACACACACGACCACCATCACCACCAACAACAACAGCAACCACGATCCATTTCTAGTTATTTATTCCCTAAGGTAAATTTAGCCAGTCATTCCTATGTGTTTACAATAGTGTATGAGAGTCTGGTTACTCTATATTTCAATGACTCTGCATGTCAAAATTATCAGAAGAAAAATTACTACTTATTGAATATTGCTATTTTGTATATCTTATTGAAAATTTCAAGGGAACATCTCAATTCAAATACTCAAATATTTCCCCAAATAATTACAAAGAAATTTTGTAGAATCATGGTTATAAATGAATACTTCCTTTGCTTTTCAGAATCAATTTTCCTCTTGAGATAAAGTCACTTCCAAGAGAATCCATGCTTATTATAAAAGTGTTTGGGATTGACTCCGCCACCCACAGTGCAAATCTGCTGGCCTGGACCTGCCTTCCACTGTTCCCAAAAGAGTAAGTCTATCACCCATGATTAACAGAGCTCGGGTCCCGGTTCAACCTTCCGGGAACTGAATGTTCTTCATGTTATGGCATAATGAGAAAAATCAAGAGGACATTTTGTACTAAAATGAGGTAGCTCAATATAAATCATGAGTATTGAAACCAGAACAGAAGAGCAGAAATGGGGACCTGGCTTTAGCTGCAGTCCATGCTCCGCTCATCAGCTGGGTCATTTACAATGGAGAGCGGTTGGCAAGACCAGTCTCAATGACTCTTTCTTCTCCAAGCAGCCAACCTTTCTGGAATTAGTAATTCAAAATGACTGTGCTGTCATTTAGAATTTAAAAAAAAGCCACAAAATTCTGACTAAAGTAAAATTATAAAACATGACTGCTTTGCTGGTCTCTTATTGCCAAGAATAAACACTTGGCAACTTCCGAAAATGCACAGAACTGAGTTCAGATATTCTCTCAGAATTAACAGCCTTTACAAAGTCAGCTGTTTATTTAGCCTATAATCCATGAGAATTAACATAAAATAAAATCAGCTAATGCTTTTAAGGGAAAATATTTCCAGAAGCATCAATGTATTTATTTATTTTAAATAAAGGAAGTCCAGTTTTGAGATCAGATAAAAATATGAGACCTTCAAAAATCAGAACTTGTGTTGTTATGCTAATATTAGTATAAGGCATGTTTCTACACATATTGTCTTAGAGAAACTTGGTGTTATAGAAGTGCTTAAAGTATTGCTTTTAGGATTTCAGTTCCAATATTCATCTACTATAGACAACTTTTATCAAGCAAACCAGATCAAACTTTGAAAATTCATTGGATTATTTCTGATCTGGACCTTAGGTGTGTGCATCTCCTTGTGTGTATATGTGGGTGTATACCTGTGTATGTGTCAATTGTGTATATGTGTCTCTGTGTGTATATGTCTCTGTGTGTATATGTATGTGTATATCTCTGTATACATGTGTGTTTGTGTGTCTTATGTATGTGTGTATGTCCTATGTGTGTAAGTATATGTGTTTCTGTGTATGAACATGTCTGTTGCTTGGTTTGGGTTTTGATATTTTAGCCCATCTCTATGTGTGTATTGAGGGCAGGGAATGTATTCATCTCTGTAATGTCTGCCATCTTACATAAAGCATCATATAAATAGGCAATCAATAGAGCTTTGTTTACTAAAAAAATCAATCCCTGCATTTAGATTGTTAAAATCTGCAAAAAGCACAGGTCAGCTCTAGGAGAGGTGTCTGCTGCTGTTAGGGGAGGGACATTCCAAATATCTGATTGGAGCTTTAGGAACATCCGTGACTTTGCCCATAAGAGCCTCTGTATAGGGTCCATCTACCTGTGAGAGACCTTGCTTTCAGTTTAATCAACAGGATTTCAGATGTGGCATTTCTAGCATTTTGGTAAAGCCATATTTCCAGTTACTAACTGGAAAGAGCATTTGGAGCACTAGGTTTTCTTTACCAGCTTGCCGTATGCAGGGACGCCAGCAAGATGCGGCCTCTGGGTTGACATGCATCACTTACAATTGTTTTCAGGGAATGGCCTTCCAGGGCGGGAGTCTGTGGAAAGCAATTATCAGGGACTGATCCAAGCTGATGAGGCTGCAAGACAAACTATGCAAACCAGTGATGATGAGGCATCAGAAAACCCGATAGGCTTCGGTGATTATTTCAGCAAGCATTAGGAAATGTATTCCCAGGAGACCGTTTCTCATCAAAACCAAAAAGCATTGCCATCTCTCCTGGGATAAACAGTCAAAAGAAACCCAGATTGTTCTAAGGTATCAGAAATCCATCAGGTGTGGCTGCTGAGACACAGCCACAAATTCTATTTTGTGCCTCGCAACAATTTGTAGAGATTCTTATTCAATTTATTCAGTGTAGATATTTTCAGATCACAGAAAAGAGGCATCTTGTTTTTATTTCCACCCATGGGATGACCTTTGCCCATGAACATCTGATGTTGAATCTCTTATTAGAGTTTGAATTGCCCCTCACCAGCTGTGTGCAGTTATAATGACCACTTATATCAATATTCTTTCCAACATACACATGACCTCAGGATAGCTTCCTGGAGGCATGTTGCCTCTTCAGGGCCTCCACAAGTGGGCTTTGAGAACCAATGATGATTAAGCTCATATAGACCTATGAGGGATGTATTAGTTAATGTCTACATAAAAAAATCAGCTTTGATATTTTCAGGCATCCAAACCACTCACTTTCAGTTCTATAAAGAAAAGTATCTCAAATCCAAAGGAAAGATTTGGTGGGAAAAATCATAGAATCTTCTTTTGCAGACAAGATTGTCTCTGTACCAACTGCACTACAGCAAGGATTTGTTTCTTTCAGCACAACCCTGTCCAAGAGCTCAGGTCCCAGTTTAAGGTTACAAATAAATAGTGTAATTGTTATTTAGCATTTTTATTCTGGAAGCTATTTTGCCATGGAGATTCCCTACCTCAGTTGAACAGTAGCATTTTCTTGGATGTTATACTATATGGTCAAATTCCAGGTATCCCCCAATGATTCAAATTCAGTTCTTTTTTATTTTATTTTTGAGAGCAACAATATTTTCAAGACTCCTGGGATGAGTTAAAGTCTTAAATATAAAAATCATTTGCATAGTTTCAAACATGACTTAATGTTGAAATAGGGACGGCAGGGCTGCGTCCCCGGCACCCGGCCGCCCGCATGGCTAGCTTATACCCAGAAATAATTACACGGAAACTGTATTCTTTTAAACACTGTCTGGCCCGGCTAGGTCCAGTTTCTTATTGGCTAGCTCTTACATATTGTTCTAACCCATTTCTAATATTCTGTGTAGCCCATGAGTTGGCTTACCAGAGAGGATCTTAACCTGCGTCTGTCTGGAGTGGGAGCATCATGGCGGCTCCTCCTAAGCTTCTTTCTCCCAGAATTCTCTTCTGTCTACTCCGCCTACCTAATTTTCTGTCCTATGAGGGCCGAGGCAGTTTCTTTATTATTAACCAATGAAATCAACAGATAAGATACAAGACCCACCTCCATCATTTCCCCTTTTTCTGTTTAAACAAAAAAAAAGAAAGGCTTTAACTTTAACATAGTAAAATTACATATAACAAAACAGTTATCAAGTAAGAATTACAGTTACAATATTTATATCTATTTTATCTCTTATCATAATTAAGGAAAACTATAACTATTTATTCTTCAATTCCATCAAAGACTCCAGAAGGATATAATAATACTTAAGTAAACAAGAAATAAGAAAACTCTAGAAATGACAGAGACATCTCTCTGCCTGGACAGTCACCCAAAGTTCCTCTGTACCGTTGGGGCATCCATCTTTGGCCTACAGGCCCATGTTATGTAGAGACATTTTCATGAAGCAGGAAATTTCAAAGACAGTTTAGTCATTTTCTGCTGTGTCCTGCAGAATGTCTCGCAGACTCTTTCATGAATCAGGAACCCCGAAAGACCATCTCACCTTTAGGCAAGTTCAGCAGTCCTCTCTCTGAGGGTTCTCTGTGTCCAGTTTATGCAACAGTCCAGGCAAGAGCAGTTTTTTGCCCAAATGACTATCCAGCTCCATAAGGATCCTCTTTGATGCCCATCTTCCTCTTGAAGTAGCTGGTGCTGCCAGGAGCAGACGTGTCTCCTTGTCATGAAAAGTCCTAAGTTATTAAAATATTTTAAATGCCATATTTTGCAGCCTTTGAGAGATATGAAGAATGCCTATCTAACTGAAATATATCTCTATATATCTAGAAAATCTAACATGACTACAAGCTTTACTATTATCAATGATTATCCATTAACAACCTATATTTTCTAATTATACATTACATTTTTAAATGAACTACACAATCACAATACCTTAATCAAGATAAAAAATACATATACATATAACAAAATTGACCTTAAAATCCATACCAATGCAAATTATTTATATCTATATCATATCCCCCTTTAAATGTAAAAGAACATTTATAAACCATATTTGGGAACATGGGCGTAGTTTTTTCTCTCCAAACTGCTTTCTGCTGAATGGGGGCGCTGTTAATCAGATCGTTTAGGGTGTAACCTGTGTGCCAGGTTTATCTCAGTTGGCAGTTGAGTGAAGCAATTTTTTGAGGGTGTTTACAGCAACCTTTCAGGAGGGCGTGGTCTATCATACCAAATCGGAATAGATGCAATCCACAGGGTCACATCCTCTGTGAAAACAAAAGAAGGACTTTTTCAAAGCATCATATCCTTAGACCCAAATTCTGAAGTCAAGATACCTTTAGAACATATGTGCAGGTTCAGTTTAGCAGCCCATATAATGAAATGTCTCTCTGTACTTAGCTCCTTTACAGTCAAAAATTTTAAAGAAAACACAATGTACATAATCCAGACTCTCTGTGAATTTTCCATTTTTACGTGGCTTATTTTTCTTTATTTTTCTTAATCTATAACTATCTGTATTTCCGTACTCTGTCTCTTTAAAGACTTTACCCTTTTTCTTTTTAAGACATTAACTTTATTCTTTATATTCTTTTTCTTCTCTTTCCCAAGCCTACGTACATTTATCCAACAGTGTCTGAATCTGTTTTATTGTGAATCTGTAATTTTTTACTATCCAGGAGCACTTTGTTTGGCGCCTTTAAATCACTAAGCACTTAAGAATCTAAGCTGTGACATTCCTAGGTCAAAAACAGGTACTGTATGCTGGCTCCGCCCAGTCCAACATGGCGGAGCCGCTCGTGCCTCTGATCCTTGCACATTGTACCAGTAGCATGGCGGAGCTGCTTGTGCCTCTGAGCTGTGGCACACAATGTCCCCCTTTTAGGCACACAGCAGTCTAGTTGCCATCAAACAAATCGTAGCTCTTTAATCCAAATGTTCCATTCATTAGCTCTGTCTCCCGCTGGAGCCAGACAGAGATCACAATGGCGGCACAGCCCAGAAAGCCGGCATTTTAAAACAGCCAGTTTTTTCCTGCTGCCGAGTCAGGACAATTTCTTTGCAGCACGCAACCCAGAAACAGCAAAAAGCTGTCTTAAATTTTCTTTCTCTCCTTTTTAAGTCCTCTCAGGTTTTTAAGTGGATTTAGCCCCACGTTGGGCGCCATCTGTTGAAATAGGGACGGCAGGGCTGCGTCCCCGGCACCCGGCCGCCCGCATGGCTAGCTTATACCCAGAAATAATTACACGGAAACTGTATTCTTTTAAACACTGTCTGGCCCGGCTAGGTCCAGTTTCTTATTGGCTAGCTCTTACATATTGTTCTAACCCATTTCTAATATTCTGTGTAGCCCATGAGTTGGCTTACCAGAGAGGATCTTAACCTGCGTCTGTCTGGAGTGGGAGCATCATGGCGGGGCTCCTCCTAAGCTTCTTTCTCCCAGAATTCTCTTCTGTCTACTCCGCCTACCTAATTTTCTGTCCTATGAGGGCCGAGGCAGTTTCTTTATTATTAACCAATGAAATCAAAAGATAAGATACAAGACCCACCTCCATCAACTTAAAATCAGTCTTAATCTACAAACAATTTGATTGCTTAGGCAATTGCCTGGATTATTAAGGCTGACCTCCTCTGTTTCAGAATTTAGTAAGAAACAACAGTTGTGTTGCTCAAGCTCATTGGTTTTCTTCGGGTCCACAGGAGTTGCTCAGTCCAATTGCCACACTAGGTGCTGAGGAGATCCTTGGAAAGGGTCTAATGTAAGGTACCAGGCAGCTTAAAAACAGAACGATAGCCAGAATTCAGGTCTGAGTTCTTGCCTTTGCTCTTTCTATCTGCAACTCTCTCCCTTCCTGTTTTGACATGCCACGTCCCCCTCCATGAACGTATTGTAAAAATGTCCTCCCACCTACACAGGCTCTGGCTCAGGTCACAAGAGCTCTTCCCACTAGATCTACTGCTGTCAGTCTCTCAGGGGATTTCATCAAATCAGGTCGTCGGGTTCTTCTGGTCTTTCAGTGGCATAGTCCTCTCTACACTCTGGCTCCAGATGTTGGGAACTGATGCAAAGACTCCTGATCACTAAACTCAATAACCATTATTGTGTTGTTTTAGGAAGCAGGGTGATGGAATCCTAATCCAGAGCATTTGTCTTTCTCAATGAAGCAAATTTGAGGTTGAAATATTTTTATCACTAAATTGAACAATAGTCAAGTTTTAAAAAAAAACTTATGGATATGCCAGCACAAATATCCCCAAAGGCCATATGAAAAAGCAAAGTCTAATTTCTAAACATGTCATATTTTTTTTAAAAAACCTCCAAGTGCATGAGTGATGGATACTGCAGGCATGCCTTGCAGGAAGAGTTTGCAGTCTTGTGGTCAGGTCTAGTTAGTATCTCCCTAGTGCCCTTCTGAAAGCCTCCTTCACTGCCAGAGGAACCACCACACTGTGAGAACTTTTGAAAAACATTGATTTTGTCCAATAAATTTCAGGATGCTTAGTTAACAATGGCTGGCTGATTTAGGCAAGCTCCATCCTATCACAAAGTATGATATATGTAGACTGTCTTTGTAACATTTTTATTTTGTTTTGGGGTGTATGTTGGTGTGTATTACAGACTAATATTTTCCCCATAGTATCTTATTAAATTTTGTTTTATATGTATAGATATTTTGCATGCATGTATGTCTATGTACCACTTGAGTGCCTGTCCCCCATAGAACCCAGAGAAGGGGTATTGAAGACCCTAGAACTGGAGTTACAGATGGATGTGAAATATCATATGGGTTTTGGGAATCAAACCCAGGTCCTCTGGTAGAGCAATCTGTACTCTTAACTGCTGAGCCATCTCTTCAGCCCAGTGGATTTTTTTAATTACTTCTGATCCCCACCTACTTTGTTTTAAATATGTCCATTTAATTGCCTGTGTATTTAAATTTTCTTAATTGTTTAAAATGAAACCATACTTTATTATATATATAGCAATACAATTTATATAACAATGGTATAACAATTTAACAATACAATTTTTAAATAACACTTTAATAGAATGATTTGGTACATTAAAAGGAACGAGAAAGGAGAATAATTCAGGTTACAAGAATACCCTCAAAACTAATTTTTAAATGGCAGCTTTTTCCAAATAGATCAAGGTAACAGCACACTCAGAGATGAGTCAGGTCTAATTATTAGTGCTGTCATGGTCGGTGAAATTCAAGGGGAAAGTCCCCCATCTTCTAAAGCCACAAACACTCTCAGATCTGTTTTATGTTCCTCACTGCTACTGATCATCCTCTGCCATTTGATTTATTTGAAAAACTATGAAAGTCCTTCTTGTAGCACCTGGCATAGTCTATTATCTGAAAATTAGCTCTCCAATGCTAAACAAACACCTTCAAAACAATGCCACTCATTTATTTTCTCAGCTCCTCATACGGCCTTAAAATCTGTATGCCTTTACCCTCCACTGTCCATCTGGACTTACATATTCTTCATGCCCACTTTCCTAAGCTCTGTGTACCCCACTCCTACACAAGCGCTCTGACTTCATTCTGAATCCTGTACCACAGGATAGAGGCTGGGGAGGCTCTTACAGTGCAATCTATCTAAGGGCAGAAAGAACAGACACCACTGGATTCCTTCTTGATAGAAGCCAGCTCCTGTAAATCAGATTTGTTTTGCTTCAAATGTGGCCAAGCAAAATCATAAATATAACACCTTCCGAAAGGCGGGTGTGAAAATGCAACTAACATCTCACAAGCTCCATCCTGCACTTAATGAGGGCAAAGAGCTCTCGGCTTATAGCAAGGACTGATTAGCTGAAATATGAAATCTCTTTTGGATAAAAATGCCTAGTCACTTAGCTTTCTTTCACTCTGCCTCTCTTCCTAACAAGATGAGAGGACGATGAGGTTGAGAGAAAAGGAAAATCTACAGAGATCTTGTGGCCTGCTGACTCTGACCTCCAGACCACAGTCCTCTTCAGAGCTGGGAGCTCCTTGTTTTATCAGAAACTGCTGGCTTGTGCAGCTTGTTAGGGATCTCCCAGTGTAGCCGAGGGTGCTGGGTTGCCCGAGTTGGGTTATCTCAGCCACCACCTGAGGTTCTCTGTCAACTCCTGAATTGAATGGTTACCGACAAGGTGATTTGTCTTCAGGTTACATTTGCTTTGGTTAATTAACTAATTTTCCAGTTTTGTATATTGAACTCAAACACCACTCTTAGTTAACCATTGGAATATGTTAATTCAAATTACATATTCAAATTTGTGCACCAGTTCCACTAAATATTTTTTTTATAAAAATATGTGGATTTAGTTGTTTTTGCAGCCATTGGAAACACTGGTGGTTTTCTCCATGGTTAGAATATTTTCTATATGCTCTCTCATTTACTATGGTAATTTACAACCGATTTTTAAGGATTCCGAACATGAATAATCTTTCTATTTATATGCGAAGGAACATTTCCCTTGTGGAGTCCTACAACTATTTTGATTCTGCAGCTCATATGCTGTGCTGATTTAAACCTTGCGTTCTTATAAATTTAGAATCTTTAAATGCCCAAGGAATTTATTTAATCCAGGGGAAGGGAGGAAAAAGGACCTCTGAAGAACTACTATCCTTCCTGAGTTGAGGCACCCTTAAGTCCAGAGTCCAAATCTGAGATTCCTAATTCCACTTGGTTATCGCCACTGATGGCAGTCACTGATACATGCTACAATGCTCCTGTTAGGAACTACTGTAATAACTGTCACACATGACAACAAAAATGTGGTGTCTATGGAAATAGCTTTGCATTTGACATGTTAGTAGTGAGCTCACAATCCATGTCTAGACATGTGGGATATTTTATTTCTCTTCTAGCTACTGACCGAAGCCACAGAAATAACCACTGCTTTCTATCCCAGAATAAGCATGTGTGAAGACACTAATAGTTTTCGTCTTAATGTGACTCTTGTCTGTGTGTACGTGTTATCTTTTGCAGAAAGTCTATGATGGGGTCTAGGCTATTCAGCATGACATTTCAGAGTGAGCCTCCCACAGAAATGATAGCTCCAGGAGTATGGGATGGGAGCCAGCCTTCCCCACTGACCCTGCAGGTAAGTGTCAAGCTATGAGATTAAAGTACACATAGAAAATTCATGTTGTTAAGCAGTGTGGTAACCAGTTACAGAAACACTTTCTTCTAGGGTCACACATACATGATCCCTTTCTCCAGTTTAGAATTGGGTGTCTTCTGTATCCTTTGTTTTATGCCCAGAACTCTCCAAGCAATTTTTCTGTCAGCTTATATAATAGCAATTCAATAGATCGCTTCACCATCCTGAAGGATAGCAGAGAAGCCTTGCTATCAACACTCTCCTTAAATGCACCCAATTCTTCTTTCTGTTGTCTAAAATAAGTCATTGTTATATAGTATTAACCCAGTGCCTTACAGCTGCTTTTGCATTGTGACAAGCCATCAAAATCTCTTCTGCTGCACCTTTGTTAAATGGCTGGATTGTAAGAGATGAATAGCAAACAAAATCCATGTTTATACCTTTTTTGCCCTAAAACATCTCTATTCTCTGTGATTTGTGATGGGGAAGGGAAATTGCTCAATGTTTCCAGCTTTGGTTCATACTGCCAGTAGCACCTTGTTTGCTCATGTCTGTGGCTCATACTGGCTCATACTGGCTAGAGATAAGCAGCACAGACACAGTACTACGCTCATGTCTCTGGTCCATCTATCCTCACTGGCTAAAAATCAGCAACACAGATACAGTACTGTGCTCATGTCTGTGGTCCATCTATCCATATTGGCTAGAGATCAGCAACATAGATATAATACTATCTAGAGATTCAGGAGTGTGGACTTTCCATCCATCTCTACAAGCATGAGGTTCGAGGGTATAAAGGATAGAGTTTAGAAATATACACAAAAAGATGTTGATGAAGGAGAAGAATGAATCCTATAAAAATGTGGCTTCATTTTAGGGCAGAAAAGGTCTTTCCAGGAACCACCTGAACAACATTTTAGCGCCAGCTTGGTGGCAAGAAATAGGTGAGTCACGTAGACCTGAGGATGTCAGGTCTAGATGATGACTGGCTGGCATGTGCCTTGCAGCAGGACACAAAGAGGCACTTCATTCCAGTAAGGGAATCTGCCATAAACCTCATAAATATTCCCATGCTAGGCCAGAAGGAATCACCAGACTTTAGTTTTAAAGGACCCCCCATTTTGATAAAGTGAATAGCTCGTTACTGAAGAACCTGTGCTGATATTATTAAAAGTCCTAATTTAAGAATCCAAAGCACCATATCAGGCTTTCTACTGTATTCTAGAACAGGAAACTGATCCAAGGTTGAATTTTAGGGGCTGACTCTGCTGGTAAAGTGTTTGCCTGAGAACTGACATTCCTACCCAGAGCCCACGGGGAAAATGGCTGATTCAGTGGTATAAGCTTTCAATCTCGAGTGCTGGGGCAGTGAGAAGGTGAATCCGTGGGAGTTCCCTGGCCAATCTGTCTAATTGAGTTAGTGGACTCCAGAGTAGTGGCATACCTAGTCTCAAAATAACCATTGGGTAGTGCCTGCAACATGACACAGGAGTTTGTCTTCTAGCCTCCACATGCAAACACACATGCACGCTCAAATGCACAAATCCAACACACAAAAAATTAGGAGATGGTAAGAAAATTAAAAGCAGGCCATAGAACCTAGAGTTATGTCAGGGAATAGATATGAGTCAGAAAGAAAGACATCAGGCTGTCATTTGGGGGAATGCAGACCATAGTCTCAGCTCTCTAACAGAGAATGTCAAAGTATTAAGCAAGTCTTTAACCCCCTCTTTCCACCTCTGTGCATTCAAGGACTGCCCACTGTAGTCAGATCCTCTTTTCTGGTCCTCCTTACAATATGAATGGTAATGGATGCAGAGCAGCCATCCAGGTATGACAGGGGTGTGATGAGTCACACAGAGTCATTCTCCAGGTAAATAACTGTTGACACATCCTAAGACTGGTGCAGGGAGCAGGAACAGTTGACAGGGGGAAATGGATAAGAATTCAGAGTGGAAACGAACAGGCAGATTACTGCTTGCCATTTCCTGGGTCTCCTCGTCTACTTGCTTGCACTTGCCTGGAATCCATTTGAAACTTCATCAGGGCGTATGCATATGTGCAGGAGCATATGTGTGCACTTAAGTGTAAAGGCCAGAGGTCAACCTTGGGCATTGTTTCGCAGTAGCCGCTCACCAGGCTTTTTGAGATTTGGTTTCTTACTGCCCTGGACCTCACCAATTGGGCTAGGCTCACTAGCCAGTATTTCCCCCAAGATCTGCCTGTCTCTAGCTCCTCACTCTGCCACGCAACACACCACATTCCAAGAGAAAGTATGTTTGTCTGTCTGTTTTTTAGCTTAGTCCGAGAAGCTCTAGTTTCATCCGTCTTACTGGGAAGGGTGCATTGTGCTTACACATCATTGTTTACTGTGGCTCTTCCTGGGGGCTAAGCTGGGAAACCAGCGCAGAACTAACATTCGTGTTCTCTTCCACCATCTTAAGGTCTTCTGTCTCCCGGCCAGTTCCTTCAGGCTGACATAAAGTTGTGCTAGTTCATTAGCTACTGTTTCTTATATTATTTTTACTCAATTTTTGATTTTTTTAGATAATTTCATGCACTGATACTATATAGACATAATTTTTAGCCCTTCTTCTCCTCTACCAACTCATACTGTAGCCCCCAAACTAATGACCTCTTCTTCCTTATCAATGTTACAAAAACACAGGTGTGCACACACACATGCACACACACACACACACACGTGTATTCATTTAATGTGGCTCATATGTACATGTAGTATGGGTTTGACCACTTGGGATTCAGGAGACTCATCTCTGGTGCCCAGTAAACTCTGGCCAAATAGAAAGTAGTGTGACCTACAGAGACTGCGTATGCTTTCATCTAAATCATGGCAATCATTGTTTCAAGATTCATCTCGGTAATATTAATATCATTTTGCCTTAGATTGTCTTATTTTATCATGTTAAAGCAATAATTAATAAATGATAACAAAGCTTATTCCAAAATAATAATTACAATAGACATTATGGATTAATAGAATGAACGAACCAGTTTCTAATGTAAAATAATAAGAAACCTAAATAGAATAAACTGTATTTCAAGTTGTACCTCACACATACTAGAATGTTCCTAGATTTTCTCCGTGAAACCTATCTAATACAGTTCAGCCGATCATAATAAGTTATGTGGAATATTTGAACTTTAGAATGGACAAAATTATTAACCTTAAGAAAAAATATGGAGCCTAAACTGTCCAGCTCACCTGCATAGTGCAAAAGCAGCCTGTTGTCATTTTTGTTGTTGTTGTTGTCGTCAGTTTTAACTCTGACTTTGTTTGCTATGATCAGATTATTGCTGAAGCAAGGTTTAACTAAAAACATACAAACTCAGGATATAAGGGTGAAAGGATTCTTGTCCTGTCAATAGATGGGACATCCAAACTCAAATCACAAATATTGTTTGGTTACACAATGCGCATGGCAAACAGGGCTTAAAAGAGGGACATGGGAACATTGGAGTCACTGTTTTCATAAGAAGCTCATGAAAAAGGAAGTACAATTGTCTTCATATTTCTTTACTTTATAACAGATACCAAACTCTAATAAATTGTTCAAAAATTATGTTAAAGCAATCAGCACAAAATAGAAATTACTATTTCTTTCATTTCTACAAACCTCAAGTAAATGTTGTGAAATTATAAATGTATTTGCATGCATGTTTAGTACATAGAAAATCACCTCTTCGTTACAGATAGATTTTCCAGCTGTTGGGTGGGAGTATGTGAAACCTGATTCTGAGGAGAACCGAACTGACGTTGAAGGACCACCAAGAGAGTGTTTAAAACACATCGCCAGACTGTCCAGGAAGCAGACTCCTTTGCTGTGAGTGAGCCAGGCCTGAGAATGACTCTCTCTGTTATGCTCTCGTCAACGACACTTGGAGCACTGTGTCTTCTGAGGGAGCACCTGCAGTCCTATACCAGCCTCTCATTTTCTGAAGTCATGGTGCTAGATGATCAGTTAATGTGGACAAACTGAGAAATTATTTTGCCTCATCTACAAAGACTTTTTATGTCTTTTAGCAACTTGATCTTTAGATTAAGGAATGGTATGAAGTACTAAAGTACTAGAGGCAGAGACAGGTCAGTGAACAGCATCACATCTCAGAGAAAAACGGTGCTCAGTCATCATCCAATAAGTTCTGGGAAGCTGTTTTAGTAAGCAGGGAAAATTGGAATTTAATTATCAAGGCAGATATTTAAAAGAACAGAAATAAATCATCTCTAATAAACACTAAATCAGTTAATAAGTAATTCTTATACTGTGTCAACCAGCAATTCTCTAAATAAAGCCAAAATCACTTGGAGGAACTACAAGATAATTAATGGCATTTATGCTTGCTACCTGGTAATGTCTGAGTCACAGCTCATTAGCTGTGCTCATTAATAATAAACCATAGGCATTAACTCTAGAAGTTGTACACATGTACATATATCCATCAGTATGTACACAAAAATTGCTGGAACCACAGTATATGTATAGCATAGGACACTTTATTTCAAGAAAAAATCAATTTAAAAAGAATTATATTTTTTGTGTGAACCCTGTAAACACAAGTTTAAGAATGTGTTAAAGAATCAGTAAAAACAATAGCCCACAAAGCAACTGGGAGTCAATTTGATTTTCTAGGCAAGACCTTGGGATTTCTGTAAGGTGGAAGTAAAGCAGTGGACTCTGGAAGTAGGGACTAGATTGGGAAGAAATATAGATTCTCAGTTCAAAATAGATGACATTGGTTAGAATTTGGAAATACGTCACCAGATAAACCAAAGAACTCAGGATAGGTCAATGGAGAAGACCAGGATTTAATTTGATCACTGGGAAGACAATAGAGTCATTTCTGATGGAGTCATCAGTGTGGTTGAGCCCAACTGTGAACATTCAGTACAGACATGGTCCATCTTGAGTCCTACCCTCTAGTTTCAGCCCATACCATTGTGGGTTCATTCAATTCAAACTGGTGACGTAAACCTTCTTCACAGGCTCCCACTGTGATGGTCCCTCTTCCTCCCTGAGACTCTGATTGGACATTTAGTTTTCTGAATTATTCTTTTCTACATTTTCTGCATGATTAATTCATATTCAAGTTGTCACTGAAATGCCACCTGTCACAGGGGGCCTTCCTTGACTACCTCACCCAGTGAAATCTTCCACTCTGTAACCACACTTACTAGTCTGTCATTGTCAGGTTTATTCATGGGTTTATTTCTTCTCGCCTCACCCATTTGCAATAACTAGGAGGACAAGGAATTATCAATCCTGGTTTTACTGTGTTTTACTTATTGCTATGTTTCCAATCCTAGCCACTGTTTTTCCTCTACAGTGTGTACCCCATAAAACCTGTGGTGTCCTCATGTAATATTTGCCCCACAAAGCTACTGTATTAAAAAGGATGGAAGAGTCTCACAGTCCTAAAACACAAATACTGCCAATCTCTTTCCATGCCATTTCCACCTTCACCACATGAATCCTCTTTACTACTTTTTCCAAAAAAAAAACCCTACACACATACACACACAAAACATTACATTTAAAAAGTGTGCCACTTAAGAACACTGCTCAATGTGTCATTCTAACAAGAGATTTTAATTACGAAAAAAGTGACAATGTTACAAAATTTTAAACATATTTAAACAAAAAAGGCCACACCTAGCAAATTATAGCCAGATACCAGGAGTTTGTGTTTATAAATTAACCCCAAGTTCATGGTATTTAATTTTACTTTTATGTTTTTTTAATTATAACCTTTGTTTATTTTGAGAATATAAACATGTACAATGAGATTGGATTATATCTACCTACATTTCCCTCTTCCAGCTCTCTCCAATCCCTCTAAGATGTTCTCCTCCCAACTTTGTGTGTGTGTGTGTGTGTAACCACTGATTGAGTGTGATTAGCACTGCCAATGTGTACATGAGTGTGGAACCATACACTGGAGCAAGAGAAAAGTGTCAGTAGCTGCATTCTGTAAAAGGAATGAGTCACACCCCAGTGATTATGCACGGCTAATTGCTCCTCACTTGGGGTGTGCTATGGAGAGAATCTCCCCATCTTTGCTGAGATTTTGGCTAGCTTGAGCTTGCGTGGGTCTTGTGCAGTAATCATGGACTCCATCTTTAACTTTTACATTATTTTAGGCTCCTCTCTCTGATGGCCTCTGAGGTGGTAGCAGTGGTTGAGAAAGATGGTCTACCTAAAGCTGAATAATCTCTCTCTTTTTCTGAGTTCAGTTCATGGCACCTGTGTATGTGTCAGGGTGCTCACAACTGCAAACACCTCTAGTTCCAGGAATTCCAAATTCTGCTTCTGGTTTCCATGAGTATGTGTGTGCGCGCACACGTGCATGTGCACACTCACTCACACCATAGACTCCTGCGGTCAAACACATTAAAAAATTGCTAATTTAAAGACACACATTTTAACAGTTAATTAGCTACCCCATTTGAATTCCACTTGTCTTTCTGCTTCAGATTTTGTTTATGTTAATTGTATACATTAAAGAAGCAACATTTCCTTCTGTTTCACTTAAATATAATTATCCATGTGCTGTGCAGCTACGGCTCACTCTGGACTGTGGGGAGAGATAGATGACAGCCTTCAGTGTGTGGCGTTTACAAATAACATTCAATTTAGTGACTGAATCACTTAATGCTTTATCTTTTGCTCGGTGAGTTAATTATCCCTTCTTTCAAATTAGACATATGCAATCAGAGTCGGGAAATTCAGACTCAAGATATACTGCAAAGGTTCTTGTGATATTTGTAAAAACAGATAGGAAAAGAAAAGCTTCATGTCAACCAATAAAGTGGTTCCCTATATATGGGAAGCTGAAGGTTAAAATACATAAGAAAAGTTCGTTTTGAAATTAGTAGATATGTCTGCTTTAGCATGAATTGTACCTGGGACCAGATGGTTCTTGGGAACTTGCAGAATTTTAACACAAGCAAAATGCACAGGAAGCAACTGTGTTTTCAGACATGAATTTCTTTAAGCTTAGAGACGAAAAATTTTAAAAATACTGTGTGGTTTGGTTATTTTAACAGAAAATGGTGGGGATCAGAGATTAATGATAACAAGGTAGCCAGAAACTTCAGAACACAGTGTTGGCAGAAGGAAGGTAGACAGGCTGAGAGCTGGACATCTGCCCTGGAGCAATTAGTTACTATTTATAACTGGGTATTTTTCCATGGCCTACACGGAGGTGTGAGATGAATGTGGACTTCAGAAGTTGAGCGAAACTGAAGAAGAGTAATTCTGACCATGAACACATACCAGAAGTTTGGTAAATAAACCATAAAGATGTATGCCAGGAATAAGTCTACTGTAGACTATCTATAGATAGGTGCTGTCGTAAAACTGACCTAATATATCATAAATAGAAATCTCAAAAGGTTCAGACTGGATTGCCTGAAATTAACCCTCCTACTGAACACCTTGTTGGTTCTTTCGATAGGAAAGCAATAGAAAGATGCTCTGAGCAGTGTGGTATTCCTAGTATCTAAAGGCTCTTAACTATGATCTTGGGTTTTATTTAGCATGTAATCAATTTATAAAAAAGATAACTGATTATTAGGAAAACAAAACTACAGATTATATTGGAGTAAGAGTTAAATTAAATAATTTTAGAGATTTAAAAACAGATGATTTCAATACAGCAAGCAACTCTCAGGGAAAAAATAAGCAAATTTCACAAATCCAATGTTTAAGGTTAACCTATAGATATTCATATGAGAAAGAAATGTGAAAATAAGTTAGAGACTTCCATCATCTGATTACATGTACATTTAGAAATTGATGTAAAAGACAACAATGACTTAAAAGAAGGTAAAGCAAAAAGAATTCAGGGTAGAATACACGACCAGGAACACCAGTTATATGTGTATCACAAAGATACAAAAACGATTAATGAAGAAAGAATTTTCTACAAATGGCTGCTATTATGCAGTCAGAGACAAGAATGACACGGGAAGAAGGATAAGATAAGACTTCAATGCCTGTCCTCAACCACAGGGAGAAATTAAGTTAAGATGAATCTTCTAAATGTGAAACCTAGCACTAAAAGGCTTTCTTAGGATGACTCTTAGGATAGACAGAGAGGAAACAGAGAGAAAGATGTTCAGAGAGAGAAAGATAGAAACAGAGACAGACAGACAAGCAAAGACAGAAATAAACAGAGATTGAGTTAAAGTTTAAAACTGTTTATTGTAAGACATTAATTCAGATATAAATATGAAAAAAAATCTGGGAAAATGTGCACAAGACATTTATATAACAAAACTGTTGTTTTCAGTATAAGTGAAAATACAAAGGAACCCAAATAATCTAGCCAAAAGGGTAGTTACAAGACAAGCAGATGCCTCATAAAAGATACAGGACACAGCTTAAGAAAAATTATCTATATTCTAAGTAAATGAAAATTATGAACCAGTATCAGCAACTATAAAGTACAGCACCAAAAAGACAAACAAAATCAATTAGAAACTGATTTGAACATGGTTCAGCTGAAACTCTCACAATCTCCACATAAGAATGTGAAACTTTATAGGCACCTCTGGAAATGGACTTTCCTGCTATGGGACAATGGTCTTGTACCCTGTAAAGATTTGGCACTTGTATCAAAACACTGATTGGCCAGCGTCCAGGCAGGAAGTATAAGCAGAACAGCTAGAATAGAAGAATGCTGGGAAGAGGAAAAACTCAATCTACAGTCGCCACCGAGATACAGAGGAAGCAAGATGATAAAAGCCACATCGATAACACAGACAAGAATTATGGGATAATGTTAAGAGTTAACAAGAAGACTGAGCTATTTAGTCCAACTAATTTATAATTTAAAAACCTCTGTATGTTTCTTTGGGACTGAACAGCTGCAGGACCAGGCAGGACAGAAACCTCTGTCAACAGAATTGGCACCAACATGGACAACTAAATCCACTTAAAACCTGAGAGAGTTTCAGAAGGAATTCTAGACACAAAAAGAACAGAGTTAAGCATGGCTTCTTGGTAGTAGCATTTTCTCAGGTGGGCAAGCACATCTCATTTAAGAGAGGCTTCCTGACTCAGCTTTAGCTAAAAAAAAAAAAAAGGAAAAGAAAAGAAAAAAAAAAGAAAAAAACCCTTGTAGCCTTTTTAAGAGGCCCTGCCACAAAGCACTTAAAAGTTGTTTATAAATAGCCAGCAGCATGCTTCTTGGTGGTGACAGGTCCTTGAAACTCCATAGAGTTGTGACAATAAGCATGGCTTCCATCAGTCCTTCCACCACGAAGATAGATTCTCAGAAAGCAAAGTAATGGAGTGGATCCAGCCATCAAAGCCACAACTTTAAACCTAGCCATATTGCTTAGCAAATTAAAGACTCATGAGGTCAGAAAAAGAGACATACAGTAAAGATAGATTCAGATTAAAAAAAAAAGAAACCTCTAAATGGTTTAGAGTGTATTTAGAAACATCTGTAGGCTTGGGAAAGAAAAGAAAAAGGATAAAGTCCTTAAAAAAGAAAGAGAGAGAGTAGTTGGATGTGGTGGCACACAACTTTAATGCTAGCACTTGGGAGGCAGAAACAGGTGGATCTCTGTGAGTTCAAAGACAGCCTGGTCCGATGAAAGGAGACAGAGATAGAGACAGAGACCCACATTGGAGCACCGGACTGAAATCTCAAGGTCCAAATCAGGAGCAGAAGGAGAGAGAGCACGAGCAAGGAACTCAGGACTGCGAGGGGTGCACCCATACACTGAGACAATGGGGATGTTCTATTGGGAACTCACCAAGGCCAGCTGGCCTGGGTCTGAAAAAGCCTGGGTTCAAACCGGTCTCGCTGAACATAGCAGACAATGAGGACTACTGAGACCTCAAGAATAATAGCAATGGGTTTTTGATCCTACTTCACTTATTGGTTTTGTGGGAGCCTAGGCAGTTTGGATGCTCACCTTACTAGACCTGGATGGAGGTGGGTGGTCCTTGGACTTCCCACAGGGGAGAGAACCCTGATTGCTCTTTGGGCTGACGAGGGAGGGGGACTTGATTGGGGGAGGGGGAGGGTAGGCGGCGGTGGGGAAGAGACAGAAATCTTTAATAAATAAATAAATAAATAAATAAACAAATAAATAAATAAATAAATAAAACAAAGACAGCCTGGTCTATAGAGGGAGTTCCAGGACAGGTAAAGATACACAGAGAAACCTAGTCTCAAAAATTCAAAAGTTAAAAATAAAAATAAAAAAGTAGAGTTTAAAATAAACCCAGGGAAAGATGGAAAATGCACAGAAAATCTGGATACTGTATGTTATTGTGTTGCTTTGATTATTTGATGGCTGAGAAAAGAGAAACAGCTGCTGAAAGACACTTGACTATAAATGCTGCTGGATTAATCTAACATATATATTTTGAAAATGCCTTGACTTCAAAATTTAAATCAAAATATATGTTGCTTTGGAGAAGAGGTTTTGCTTTTGTTTCCACAGGAAATGAGAGTCTGTGGATTCATTCTGGGTTAAGAAAAATAAAGTTTGATCAGGAAAGACCCACTGACAAAAATCGGATAGGAGAGGATGGCTCAGATGTTCCAACATTTCAGAGGACCTCTTTTGGAGATTCCTCCGAGTTCTATATCTAGAAAAGCCTCAAGACTGCTGGCTGAGATGATCAAGGCTCACAGAATATTCCAGTCATGACTTGACCATAATCCTAAATTTTCTTTAGGTCCCCTTAAGATTATCAGTACTCCCAATCAGCAGGAAGTAGCCTAAAAAACTATGCCCACATTCCCAAAAATGGATAATTGATATTTTTCTTTGTTTATAGTGTTGGTTACAAGTTGTTATAGTTAATGGTCAGGAAGAAAGCTAAATAAAGGAAATTAGATTGAAAGTTTTGTTTTGAATAAAAGGGGGGAAGTGATGTGAGACAATGGTCTTGTACCCTGTAAAGATTTATCACTTACTTGTATTTTATAGTTGTAAAAGTAGCAGCCAGGCAGGAAATAGAGGTGAGACAACTAGAATTGGAGAATGCCGGGAAGAGGAAAGGCCCAGTCTGTAGTCATCACCCAGATGCAGAGGAAGCAAGATAAGAATGCCTCACTGATTAAAGATACCATGGCACATAGCTAACACAGACAAAAATTATGGGTTAATATAAGATATAAGAGTTAACAAGAAGATTGAGCTAATAGGCCATCCTGTTTATAATTACTGTAAACCTCTGTGTGTTTCTTTGAGACTGAACGGCTGCTGGACTGGGTGGGACAGAAAGCTTGTCAACACCCTCCTATTCCACAAGTACGCAAGTGCCTCAAACCACTACAGGCTCTAGACTAACTGCAGAGAAAGAAAATACAAACACTAAAAAGTTTCCATGTGTATATTCATGGGACTTTGATTTATAATGTCCTTCAAAAAGGAAATAACTCAGATGGCCACCAAGTAAAAGATTACATAAGGAAATTGTAGAGTATTCATACAAAAGAATAATAGCCAGTAATTATAAAGAATGGGCTATTGACACACTCAACAATACAGATAATTTCAAAATCATTTTTGAGCAAAAGTAGCCAAAAATAAAGGATTGTACTAATCCAAAGTGAAAGAAATCAACCTTGTTCATGCCTCTGGCAACATGGAAAAAAATTGTTTTGTACATTGACAGGAGTGCATTGCTAGTTGGAAAATTCATTTATCAAAATTCATTGAACTGATTCTCTGTATTTTCTCTTATGTAAATTCTGCTTCTTGAGAGACAGCATGGGGGAATGTCACCACTCAGTATTACAGAAGAAAGTTAACCAGAATAACACATCCTGGGGTCTTTTATTATTGATGGGAAAAACAGTAACAAACAGAAGATTCTAGACATGTCATAAAAGTCATTTGGATATGTCAATATGTGCATATTTTAGGTGAAGGATACTTCTGCCTCTCTAATCATCTAATATTTCTCATACTCTTCTGGAAGTTTTGGATGGTTTAAGATAAGCCAGATTATTGTTTGGAAAAGGCAAAGGTTAAAAATTGATATAGAAATGATCATGCAACAGATTTTGTCCCCTTAAAGGCTGTGCTATTAATGATTTCATTGGGCCGAGAGAATCATCATAAAGTACACAGAAACCAGCCTCTGTGTCTTAGATTGAGGTCTCTGTTTCAGGTGGAGCATTTAGTATTGGTGGAGACTGCTTGTTCATTTCCCAGCCACCCAGACTCCCAAAATAATGACACAGAAACTATATTACTTAAATCACTGATCGGCCTATTAGCTCTAGCTTCTTATTGGCTAGCTCTTACATCTTAAATTAACCCATTTCTATTATTTTATATTTTACCACAGGGCTCATGGCTTACTTGCAAGGTTTCAACTGGCAGTTCACATCTTTCTCCTCTGGTGGCTGCATGGCATCTCCTTGACTCCACCTTCTTTTTCCAAGCATTTAGTTTAGTTTTCCTGCCTAGCTCTATTCTGCCCTATCACAAGCCAAAGCAGCTTCCTTATTCATTAACCAATAAAAGCAACACATACACAGAAGAACTTCCCACACCAATTTAGAAAAGTTATATCGGGGATATGTTTACTCCAGATTCTAATGAATTTGGTCACCCACTGATAAACTGAGATCTTTGTGAAGTTAGGCCAAGGGCTAATTTGGTGAAACTTTGCCTAACTTTAAACTCTGGTAGAACCTATCTGAGAAGATGGAATCTCATCCTTAAACTATACCTTTCCTTCACAAACCCACTTGCTACTCCACTGACTTATTGTAAAGGAAGAACAGGAAAACAAGACTGTTCCTCTCAGCTTGAGTTACAAGACACACATGGCCTGCCTTGGAGGTGGAAGATGTTTTGCCCCACCCCCGCCAAAAAAATGAAGTATTTTAAAGCAGCAATGATAAGGGAATAGAAAAAAATGTAAATTATCTAAAGTGAAGGTGGTTTTTTGTTTTCTGCAAAGAACGCACTGGCAGAAAATAAGCTGAAAGAATAAACTATCAAACTCCCTCATGATAAAGTATCAGTTTTCCAATATAAATCAAAACATAACTCAAGAAATAAAAAAGCAAGGTTTTAAACTATGAATTTATATTTACAACAATGTTCAAAAATATAAAACAATTTTCAATCTGTCTTTTCAGACTTTCTGGGGAAAAGAGAAGATACCTGTGGTTTTATCGTTTCTACTGTGATAATGAAAATTCCTCCCTCCCTCTGGTTTTGGGTAGTGCCCCTGGATGGGACGAAGGGACAGTTTCTGAAATGCATGCCATCTTGAGAAGGTGGACATTTTCTCACCCACTGGAAGCACTTGGTCTTTTGACTTCCAGGTAAGACTTAACAAAATGTATCTTGATATGTGTTAGGAACAATGGAAAAACAAGACAATGCGATTAATTACACAGTTATTCTGTTCCCAAATTCAGCAGCTATAGACATTAATTTCAGAAAACTGGCAAGCTATGCATATAACTTTCAAACACTCTAAGCTTTAATTGTATCTTCACACTAAAGATAAAGCTCAATTAATGGCTATAGTTTCTTAAGTGACGCATCCACTTTCTCTTAAAGAAAAAGACCTGGGGAAGCTGAGGCAGGAGAACTGCTGTCAATTCAGTATTACCCTGGCATACATAATGAGGTGTTATCTCAGAAAGAAAATGCCTGCACCACAGACTTAACCTCTACTTCTCACTAAAATATAAAATTAGCCAAAGCTCTGCGTCATTGCTTGGGGAAATCCTATTTGTTTTCTGCTGAAGACTTAAAACAGCAGCACAATTAATTATCCTCCCATCATTCCCAAATTGACTAATGAATGAGAAATCGGTTCAAAGTCTGACATCAACAGCTGACAGAGAAGAAGGAAACATTGATGCATCTTCTATCTATTAAGGTAATTGTATGTGGAATATGTACAGACTAAAAGTGGAGCAACAGAAAGATAAATAACCTACTTTTAAATTGAGTAAAAGATCTGACAAACACTTCCTCAAGAAAACTATACAAATATGCACAAAGTGCATGACACCATACTAATCTGGTATCATTGACTATTGGGAAAACATACAAAGGAAGCCAGGGAGCACACATGAGGGGCTTCTCTCACCAGGACTGACAATAATCAAAAAGTATAAAGCCTTGATAAGGATGCAGGAAATCAGAGTCTCATTGTCGAGTGGGAATGCGGAGCAGGTGTCAGCATAGGGGGAACCCTGGCTTTGAAGTTCTTACATGGTGAACACCGAGTTACAATATGACCCAGTAATTCCACTGGTAATTTTATATCCAACATTAGCAAAAATTATGCCCACTTAAAACTCCTACATAACTATTGAAAACATCACAGATCACAAAATACACAAAATTATACACGCAACTCAAATGCCCACCAATGAATAAATGAAATGTGCTCTCTATAGTATAATAATTAATTAAAAGGATAATATTGATATATGTGACAATATGAGCAAACTTTGGAAGCAGCATACTAAGTGAAAGAATCCACCAACCAAAGACCTTGTGTTGCACGCTCCCATTTGTATGAAATATGCAGAGATATAGAAGCGTGAAACCCAGTGATGATAATGTAGGGTAAGGGCAGATTAAAGGGAATGGTTGTAAGGAGAGGTGTGTGTGTGTGTGTGTGTGTGTGTGTGTGTGTGTGTGTGTGGTGTCTGTCTGTCTTCTCTCTGTATGCAGTTATTACTATACAAAGTAAAATAAATTGAATGATACTTAAATGACATTTTGAGAAACACAGTTCTTTAGACTAGCAGGGTGACTCGTGTGTAAAATCTTTGCCACCAAACCTGCTCATCTGAATCTGATATCTGGAAACCATGTAAAGATGGTAGAAGAGAATTGACTCCTGGAAGTTGTCCTCTGGCCCCCGTATGTGTGAGGTAGCACTTGGCACATGGTCACAAGTGCACACATGCACACAGACAGACACACGCACACACACACACACACACATGCACACACAACAATTTGGAAAAAAAGCTGTAAAAGAAAAACACTGCTTTGCATTATCTTTTACAAAATAAAATGGGTGCATTGGCACAAGTCCTTCATCCTATCACATGGGAAACTGCAGCAGGAGAATTGCCATATGTGAAAGTCTAGCCCAAAGAGTACCAGGTGAGCATTAACTATATATATATAGACTCTGTCAAAAATAATTTCACCAAAAATACATTAGGTTAAAGACTGTGAATCTATGAAAGATATTGAAGTTTGATTGTTGAGACAACTTTCTATGTCTTCCAAACAGGAAGCTAGAAAGAAACACTGTCTCAAAAATAAAATAAAAAAGGGGGGAGAGAACAAAAAGTAGGAACAGGAGAGAAAGCCTGCCCACAGTGATGCCCTTTCTCTGGCAAGGTTCTGCAACTTCCCAGAGAGCACCAGCAGCTGACAGTTGAATCACATGAGCTTCAGTAGTTAAAAGCCTCTACTGCCAAAAATTAGGCAGGCAGTGCTTGCCGAGTCCTGTAGAGGAGGTGGAGGAAGGACTGAAAGAGACAGAGGGATCAAGGACACCACAAGAACACGGCCCACAAAATCAACTGACTGGGACCCAAGTGGACTCATAGTGATCAGGGAGCTTGTGTGGGTCTGACCTAAGTCCTCTGCATATATGTTATGTTTTAGCAGCTTGGTGTCCTTGTGGACTCCTTACAGTGGGAGCAGGAGCTATCTCTGAGTCTTTTGCCTGCTTTGGTGTTCACTTCATCTTTCTGGTTTGCCTCATTTAGCCTTGATATGAATATATATGTCTGGTCTTATTGGATCTTGTTCTGCTATATTTGGTTGATATCCTGAGGAGGCCTGCTCTTTTCTGAAAGGAGTTGGAGGAGGGGTGGATCTGGGGAAAAGGGGAGGTAGGGGAAAAGATGGGTGGGTGGGGGACTTCAGTTGTGATGTAACATAAGAGAAAAGAATCAATTAAACATACATAAATAAAAAGGTAGATAAATAAATAAAGCAAATCTAAAATAAAAAAAAATACCTGTCCTGCTCTTAGAGAGGACCTGGCTTTGGTTCCTAGCTCTAGGCCCTCTAGGACCTGAGGCAATCTTTGGGATCATTTTATATTCAAATCACAATACTTCTTAAACACTTAGGCTTTCTTTTTCCCTAGTTCTGAACAGCAAGGGCTAGATTATCACACCCAAATGATTTTCTTTCACTCAGCCCTGCTCTCTGGAATCATCAGACTTAATAGTCAGAGATGAACAGGGTCCTGTCAAAGCAGAGACCTGCTGGTGAAGCTGTGTTCTGGGACCCTGTTCTGATTGCCGACTTTCCAGCTCCTGATCATGCAGCAGATAAGGTCACTGGCAAGGTTGGCAAGTTTCCATTGTGAGCATCCTGTGACTCCCACTCTCGGTCTAGCTGAACTGTTAAAAAGCTTGAGGACAAGCTGTTTCCAGAAATGAGCCTTTCCACAACTCTAAATTCAAAAGATGACTCTTCTGAGAACAGTGGGTACTTATTACGTGAGTTATCAAAGAATGAGTTCTTCGGAGCTCTCCTTCTTTTCTACCCTTCATTGAAGAGTCTGTTGTGGTGATGGTTTAACCTCTTGAGAACTGGTTTTCTCCAGTTTGAGTTTGGAAGGTTTTTAATACTACTGTTTATTTCATCCTGCTAGAAGACTTTCCACTTCATTTGTGTTTATTCTAAGCAAGAGACATGCTGACACTTAATGCACCTAGAGTGAGCCACTAGGTGTTCACTTTTCCACCACTGAGTGACAGTAGAGCGCCTGCTGGGTACTGGTCCTTCCATTGCAGAAGATGGAACAGCAAAGACCTGAGCTGAGGTTAGTGGTTCTGAGTGAATTAGATGCGCTTTTCGTGAACCTTCATGCACAAACACAAGGATTCAGTGGATAATAGCAAATAAGTTACAGAAATCATTAAGAGTCATTTTTAATGAAAAGATTGATTTTTAAAAAAAAAATTCGGAAAACTGAACTAGAAGCTTAAGTAACAGTCTGACAGGGCACCAAATCTGGCTCCCCTCACATGATGTAAAATTTGCTTTTCAGGAAGAAAAGCAGTATTAAATAAACAATATCATAGCTTCCAAAATCAATTCCCTTGGAGGGAGACTTCACTAAAATACTTACAGCAAGTCACTCTCTTATATTGTACAGATAAATTTATACTAAAGTCAGTCTTGACTAGCATTGTAATTAGGAAGGATGGAATTCACAATAGTGAGACACTTAAATTTTCCATTATTTAGATGCTTATTTAAGCAATGGGTTGCGGTGCTGCTTTTCCATTTATGGAGCAAAAATATGTGCTATGCACTTAATCAAAACGGGGAATATCAGCTAAGTTCCTGTTGCTAGGAAAACACACAGTCTGCAAGGAAAGGTTTGCACCAGAGGCCACCACATGATGCATTCTGTTAGACTTTAATTAAGGTGAGTAGTAAGCACTAGATAGGCATGAAGGTGAGCGAGCAAATTATGCCACAGAAAGTAGGAAAATGTTCACAGTGAAACCGAGTCCTGACTCCAAGTCTTGCAAAGATTTCTTCAAGAATGGTAGCATGTGCATAGCCATGAAGGTTCAGAGGGGCGTAAATACTTTAACATAAAAGAATTTCCATGGGACACAAAATTGAAAACATTGACCTGAGGAAGATTATGTGGGGCTTTGTGGTTCAGGTAAAGAATACAGTCTTATGAGAACAGTCCCTGGAATTTTGTTGCCAGGCTTGTGTTTAAAAGAATAATTCTAGCAATTCCATGAATAATCTGTTTTAAGGAGGGGACAGCAAGGCTATTAGCTGGATGTCAAGTTTAGGAATAATCCCCTTGCAAAAATCTTCATGGCTTCATCTTGCCAGCAGTAGTTAGCCACAGAGTAGACTGGGGAAGTTGCTTTGGAAGAAAGCCACAGAGGGAGGAGAGATAATAAGGAATTCAAGCTCAGACTCAATGCTTGAAAACCCCATTGTGGACTAAGACAAGGGCCACAGAAGGAATAGCAGATTAGAGTAGTATAAGCTGAGAGGGTATTGTTTACAACCTAAAACCTTAACATGAGACCTCAAGGAACTTCCCAGTATGGTATGTAGTTCAGCCCGGAGATCTGAAGTTTTGCAAAGAAAAATAAACCTCAAAGAATAACAGGAGCCTTAAGATCTTTAGATGGTAATGGACGCCACAAACGTAGAAGGGATTTTTAAAAACCAAACAAACAGATGTTTAGAAAATAGGGGATAGAGCAGCTTTGTAAAAGCAGCACAAAGGAAGGCCAGAAGACAAAAAGGGAAAGGGAGCCGAGTGATCAGAGGGAACCGTGAA